CGTTGTATACAATTATTAGTTTCTCAGTTATTCTTGTATTTTGCCTCTTTAATAGGTCGATGACGGCTTCCCGCCCGCCGATCGTCCAAAAAAAATATGGGGTGAGGCCCCTATCCTGCAACAGGCAATAAATGTGGCCGGGAGTATGCGCTAAGGGCCAGTCAGGACCTGCTGGGTGCCCGAGCTACGGTGCTAACAAGCAAATGCGAACAAGCAAGCTCGAAAGGAGATCTTCGGTTGGACTCCCCATCTCAGCTGCAAACAAACCACGCTCCGAGGGAGAGCTGCCCCTGCATTTTGCAAGCCTAGCTGTAAATATACAAAGCTCCAAGGGGAAATGCCCCTGCATTTTGCAAACATAGCTGTACACATCCAATGCTCCCAGGGGAGCTGCCCCTGCATTTTGCAAACATAGCTGTAAACTTCCAAGGCTCCAAGGGGAGCTGCCCCTGCATTTTGCAAGCATAGCTATAAACATCCAAAGCTCAGGGGAGCTACCCTGCGTTTTGCAAACCTAGCTGTAAACCAACAAAGCTCAAAGGGAAGCTGTCCCTGCATTTTGCACACATAGTTGTAAGCATCCAAGGCTCCAAGGGGGGCTGACCCTGCATTTGCAAACATAGCTGTAAACATCCAAAGCTCCCAGGGGAGCTGCCCCTGCATTTTGCGACCACACCTGTAAACATCCAACTTCAAAAGCTCCCAGGGGAGCTGCCACTGCAGTTTGCAAGCATAGCTGTAAACATCCAAAGCTCCAAAGGGGAGCTACCCCTGCGTTTTGCAAACCTAGCAGTAAACCTACGAAGCTCAAAGGGGAGCTGCCCCTGCATTTTGCAAACATAGTTGTAAACGTAGAACTAGAAGGCTCCAAGGGGAGCTGCCCCTGTATTTGCAAATATAGCTGTAAACATCCAAAGTTCCAAGGGGAGCTGCCCCTGCATTTGGCAAACCTAGCTGTAAACCTAAAACGCTCTGAGGGGAGCTACCCCTGCATTTTGCAAACCTGGCTGTAAACATCCAAGCCCCAAGGGGAACTGCCCCTGCATTTAGCCAACATAGTGGTACACATCCAAAGTTTCAAGGAGTGCTGCCCCTGCATTTTGTCCGCACAGCTGTAAACTAGTTTTAAAAGCTCCAAGGGGAGCTGCCCCTGCATTTTGCAAACATAGCTGTAAACATCCAAAGCTCCAAGGGGAGCTGTCCCTGCATTTTGTCGCGTAGCTGTCAACTAGCTAAAGCTCCAAGGAGAACTACCCCTGCATTTTGCAAACGTGGCCGTAAGCATACCCAGCTCCAAGCCCTTTTTTTTTGTTTCTTCCTCGCAAACATAGCTGTAAACATACCACGCACTAAGGGGAGCTGCCCCTGCTTTCTGCAAGCATCGCTGTAAACGATTACATACAAGGCTCGGAGGGGAGTTGCCCCTGTTTTTTGCAAACATAACTGTACCAGGCCCCAAGGGGAGCTGCCCCTGAATCTTGCAAACATAGCTGTGAACCTACAAAGCTCAAAGGGGAGCGGCCCCTGCGTTTTGCAAACATAGCCGCAGCGCCGGGCATAACGCCACCCAGGCGAGGCGCGCTGCCCCTGCCTTGACCAATGCCGCCGCAAACAACACGCGCAAAGGGGCGCTGCCCCTGCATTTGCTCGCATAGCCGCCGTATCAGACCGCCGGGTCAGCCGCCATATCAGACCGCTGGGTCAGCCGCCATATCAGACCGCTGGGTCAGCCGCCGCCATATCAGACCGCTGGGTCAGCCGCCATATCAGACCGCCGGGTCAGTTGCCATATCGGACCGCTGGGCCAACTGCCATGTCGGGCCGCCGGGTCAACCGCCGCATGGGCTAGGGGCGCTGCCCCTGCCTCTGCCGCCGCCACAAACAGAGCTCAAAAGGGAACCACCCCTGCATTTGCTCGCAACGCCGCCGTATCAGGCCGCCGGGTATTCCGCCGCATGGGCGATTACGTAGGGGAATCGCCCCTGCCTCCGCTAGTACAACTGAATAAGCAGCATGGGCCAATCGCCCTGCCCGCCGGGTGCGCATAATGTGTGAGTGTGTGTGTGTGTAACGCACATACGCGTGTCTGAATATGCCCTGCGCGGTCGTGACGGATTAATCCGTCGCACCTCGGGTAAAGTGTTAATTACTGAAAGTAAAACAAGGTCGCCAGCCTGCCAACACCGGCACGTACTGCCGGCTCGCCGTGGTATCTAAACAACAATGGCAACGGCGACGACAGCCGCAAGGAAAAAGATAACAGCTAGCCATGTCCAAACAAAGCCCCAAAACAGCAAAGTAGACCCCACATGCTGAGACTTGGTGTAATGCCGCCTAGTACGAGTAGGAAGGGGAGGGGAGCGACAGCACTTAGAGGCGAAGCAGGGTGAGGGATGGAGGAGAGGAGGATAAAGAGAGAGAGAGAGAGAGTATGTGTGTGTGTGTATGTATGTATGTATGTATGTATGTATGTATGTATGTATGTATGTATGTATGTATGTATGTATGTATGCGTGGGTGTGTGTGTGCTTGCGTGCTTACCCACGTGTGCTGAGAGAGATAGACTACACAGCGAATGAAAAAGGAGGCACGCATTGGTTGAGAAGAAGTTCAGCCGGTTTGCTGCCATGATTAGTTGCTCCCGCATAGCATGAGTTCGGGACTAAGCCCAGTCCAGCAGCTGGATTAGGGAGCCGATGAGAGGAAATGGACTAATCGTCCGCGTGAAAGAGCGTCCGCAGCGGAGTTGTCCGTGACAGTAATATGGGTAGTCAGCGAGATAAAGCCTTGTGTTCTGCTACCATGCGGGGGCTGAAGTGGGCTGGTTCCGTCACGGTTGGATTTCGGCAAGTCCCGGATTTCAGACTGCTCCAACTGCCCTTTTGTCGCCGTGCAGTATGAATTTCTTGTCGGACTACTTAGGGCCCCAGAGGGCGTAAGCTCGTGTTGCAAGGCGCGATGGTTCTGAAAGTCTGCCAGGCCTCGACCCAGTAGATTAGAGATTCAGTTTTTCTCTTGCCAGAAGAGGAGCCGCCAATGACAATTCCGCACTCAGTGATTGCCATCGGATTGATCGATTCTAACACGTTTGGCTGCTGGCTGCGTGTGGGCAGGACAGGAAGGAAGCATTGTGGCCAGCTCGACGTATTCCGCACGCCGTATTGTCCTAATCGTCTCCCGTGCGCCAACACATGCGCCGGCCGGCATCATAGCGCCTCCAAGGAACTCAACTAAACTGGTCATACACGACAGTGTCCATGCCTGCATTTTCGGCCGGCATGCTCATCGCCCGAGGCTTGTTGGTCAGGGCCGACGCTGCCGTCGCCGCGGTCTCAAACGAGGAATACCAGCAATCCGCTGCTGAGTAGGATCCATGCTCAGGTACGGGTATAAACCATGTAAACCAACTAGCTTTAGAGCAAACGAAAGAAAAAGAAAAATCTGGCCTTCTGCAAGCAATAGCAAGTAATGAGTGACGGCTGTGTAAGGTCGCACAACCATGCAGTCGACCGGATGATGGTGAGTGTCCGGCACACATCTTGCTCTGCTGCTCCACCTGCGCATACCTGATACGGTGGTGCGCTTACGGGCGGGCTGCCTGGGCCCCAGATGCCTCCTTGATGTGCCACGGAGTGCCGTCGAAGCACCTGTATCACTTCGGTGATCCAAATGCGAATGCAGCCTTGCCGGTCGCCCGCCGGCCTGACGCCTACGCGACCAGCCTGAGACTGGCCCTGCCGCATTTGGCGCTTCTAAACGCTGCGATCCGGTAGACAGCTCACTGGGCTGCCAAATACGTGACTGGCTTGAGGACAGTTCAATACTGGGCAGGGCGCCCAGCTCAGGTCGCACGCCGTAGCAGCGTGAGCTGGGCGCGGTGAGGGTTGGTGATAACTACAGTTTCCTCCTTCCTCCTCCGGAAACTTCCATATATATTTGACTACTTATATTTGACTCCTTAGAATTTCTTGGACTTAGAAATTTTCTCTCCAACTTAAAAAAGAATTTTTTGAAGAAAGCAGAAATACACAAGATGGGATTTGAACCCACAACCATGTGAATCTCAGTTACTCTTCCTTACCACCCAGCCACTGTGCTACAATGCGGCATAGGCTATAGTATAATACTAGAATTACAAGGGTATGTCGTATATGAAGAGAAACTATTGCGTGGAGAACACGATAAAAAGATTATAGACCTCATAGTTGGTCTATACAGGATATATAGACCTCGTAAAAGACCTCGGGGGACCTCGGTCTTACCTCCTAACCGGTCTATAATCTATACGTAACACCACCAGTTACTAAACGATCATATTTAAACATAAGGTTATTATAGTGTAACTTGTAGTTCCTTGGTCCTTTTTACTTTTTATAAATAATCCTTGGCTCTCCATCCGAGTTCAATCTGAGGAACCCCGATTTTTTTATTACTGTTTTGCATATTCCAGACGGACCACATTTTTTTGAAAAGTGGTACGGCCATGGTCGTACCAGTCTTAGCGGGTGCTACGCCCCTGAAAGGGCTGTGGGGACGGAGCCATCCCAGTACCGTGACTTGATCCCAAGTAATCGAGAGTGGAACCTGTAGAGCACTGGACACACACTAGCTGCATTGTGGTCTTCTCGGGATAAGCGAACGACACGGGCCACTGTACATATTTAGTCGCAATGATAGTCTCATTCATAGTCATACTTCGAGTACTGATAGTCATAATGATGGAATATGAAGGGCATTTCTTTGCTTGCTACTGCCACGGTGAATATGACACCGCAAGTCAACACTGCAAATGCAGCTAACTTTTTCTCTCCCATTCTTGGGTTCAAACCATCTCTCAATCACCAACAGAACGTCTTCGGGGTGAGGGAGAGAACCCAGCAGTGAGCAGTGACCATCGCCAAAAGAGTAGATTTGCCAAATTGGTGCTGGCAACCTAAGCAATACCGGTACTGTAGTCAGATGTCTGAGCGCATGCAACAAAGACAGAGTGAAACTCTTACCTGCCTGGTCCCGCTAGGCGTGTTGACCTGTCGTTCTCCTAGCCGTACAGGACTTTCAACCGTAGACATAGGCAAGCTGCTTTTGGTACAAAGCAAACGTCAGGGACGTCAAGGCACCAAGCAGCACAGGAGTCAGACGAAACGACGAAGTTATGTTCTTATAGACATAAAACTCAAGCAAAAGCCATTTTTTCAAACAACACGAACTCTCTATAGCCCTGGCCAGACACAACAAGACAGTTGGACAGCGCGGGCAGTGTTCATTGAGTACCACTGTGTGTTATCATTGAGTATGACAATGGCAGTACGGGGAGTGGGAGATACACCGGCTGACATGCAGTGGGTGGAGTGTCCTCAGCAATCCAGTATACCATGTATACAGGGTGTACTATATACTTTACTGTGTTTTCATGACGGCCACTGAGCCACTGAGCCACTGTGATTGCCACTGAGCCACTGTGCCACTGTGATTGGACACCTGCTCAGTACTCCATCGGTAATTACCCTCAGGGAGAGAGTGTGAGTGTGTGTGTGTGTGTGTGTTTGTGTGTGTGCGCGTGTGTGTGTGTGCGAGAGAGAGAGAGAGAGGGAGAGTTGCATTTGGAGATCCTCATTGCAATGCAAGAGATGTCACTGGAGATTTGTTATGGCCAGCCTCACTCCAGGTGTAAGCTATACGCAAGACGTAACATTCACACTGTCCGATCAGCGACCACAGGCATTCTGTACGACAGCTTCTCAAGGATTAGGATAGCAACATTACACGCTTTGCAGCTCACCTGCCAACTGGTGACAGTTTCCACAGCTGTAAGGAGCTGTGTACACCAGGTACACATGGCAAATGTATGCCATGCATTGTCAGCAGATTTAATCCTGGCTGGTCACGAGAACGTTACTACTAGTCCATCAAATGGAGCCTAGTAGTGGTACTTCTCTTGTAGGGATGCGTCACAAAGATGAGACAGCACTCTGAGCTGCTTGACATCGCGCGATGCCATCACAGGCTGTGTGACTGCATACCTCCATGCTCCAGCCTGCCATCTTCCAGGATTATGACATGTTGCTTGTCAAACACTCTCCAGCTGTTTCTGATCATCGATTCGTGAACACCTGTGTCATGGCTGTAGCAGCACTGGTGATTGTGATGTATGCACCGAGCACCTAATAAGAATTAAGAGTACGGAAGACGCAGATTGAAGAATTGATTTAAAACATGCACTGGTATACCACAGTATAAGCACATCAACTACTACTAGTACTAGTAATCCATTTGAGCATGGCCGTGCTACATTGGTGCATCCCTACCACGTGACACGATCATCTTGAATTGATCTCGCATCGCTTAGTTGACGGTAGACTATAGTACTGAAGTATAGATATCGATCAGTGAAGTACAGCAATGTACCTGTACCCATGCACTCGCCCGTCATCATAAAACGATCAGGGTAGCTAGTGTAGCTAGGGTAGCTAGGCATTAGCTACCGTGCTGCTCAGTGAAATCCGGTCAAATGAATCACGTTTCCTCCCTGCATCAGTTTACATCCCACTGCCCAGAGGTCTAGGGCAGCACAGCACCCAGCATGACATTGACTTCGGGCCGTTGATCGGATTTCACCGAGCAGCACTGTAGCCGCTAGTGTGGGTCAGGAGACAGGAGACAATTTACTCGGCTTACCGGCATACTAACTTAGTACTACATCATTATAACAGATTTGTAGCGGGCATGGCCCTGGGATCAAGAACAACCAAACAGTATTTGCACATGCATGTACACGTACAAAATGTAAAAAGTGAAATCCAACCTCACGAATAGAGCAGAGTAATGTTAACTGCGTTCCTCTGCCAGGCCAAGGCCCTGGTCCCCCTGTGCAGCCCCTGAACTGCTACCCTTTTACTCTTGAGGTTTGGTGAGACCAACAATTAATGTCACATGCCATCTACAATGTATGCTACATCCACTAACGTTACTATGGTTACTAGTAGACAGTATGGTAGTAATACAATAATGATGACTTTCATCATGGAGAAAACAGCTGGTACATGGTTTCCACTGGCAAAGCATGCCGCACTATCATTGGATCCAATCATGGCATGAACAGCAGCTAGTAATAGTACATGTAGTACCGAGATATTCATCATGATTACGCGTCAGTGTGCCCTCTCCAATCTGATCTGTCCTGTTCCAGTTGGGAGTGTGCAGCTAGCTAGCGTGCTCCCTGTACTAATGGCTAATGCTACTATGTTGCCCGCCAAAAAATATTACCATTGCGGTACATTCACTGCGTCGTTGCTGGGGAGGAAGGGCCGCGAGGTAAGTAAGTAGTTTAGTACTACACTAGCAATGGCAACATACCACAAAGGTACCGTTTGCCACAACATGGGCATAACTAACCTGTCTGTCTCCAAAGTAAATGAAATGGATGGGCACATTCGTCACCGTCCAGCTCATCTTGAGGAAATTTTGTGCTGCGAAGAGAGCTTGACATTCACACAAGATTCAATTTTAGTACCGTGTCCCTATAGGCCTTAGCAGGCACTGTCCAAGCTAGTATAGTAGTAATTTAGCGAGAGACTACTGTACTGGTGCTACAAACTCGAAGCCAACAATCCACTTCAGATCAAATTTTAAAATCATTCTCTGCATGTGGAATGACTGAGGCTTGTGATTTTTTCATAACACGAACCGCAATATCTGCAGGTTGGTCTACAGTGTAGATCTACTAGGCTACCAATAGTACCATGGTATACCATGGTATACAGACATAGTCATTACAGTCGTGTAGTGTAGAACTAGAACTAACTAATTATTACTTAGTTACCTACATGACTGTAGTACCTGTATCTAACAGTACGTAGATCTACGAGGTCAATATGAAAATAAAAGCCGAGTAAAAACCCGAAGTGAAGCCTTTACGAGGGTTTTATCTCCTATGCCATGGACTTAGTGCGAAGTCAATGACTAGCGAAAGCATGTGTTCAATCCCCAAAAAGGAGTCAATAGAATACATGTACATGTACTAAGAGAGTGATAAAGATAATAACTATTGCGTTTTTCCCGAACAGAAACTTGTACTAAGTTGTAGTCACGAAACAGTTACACTTCTCCCTTCTCAATCTCCTCAAACCAAGGAGTAGAACGGTACAGTAAGTAAGTGACAATACTCATTTTCATGACAATCATATCCTGAGGGGGGGGGGGGGGGGGGGATTGCCTGTCTATCATGCCATCAATATTGTCAATATCACGTGATGGCATGATAGACGCTAGCATTGGTCAGTAATTCGGGAGTCGTAAAATATCACTCGGCCTGGTGCACTGGTGTTATAAAAATTGAAAATGGCGGAAGGGCTGGCTTTCGTTTACCAGCAGAGCCAAACATTTCCTTAGTCTAACGCGTCACAACGTCTAGTCATAATATCCAGTGTTTACGTCGTTGCTGATATGCTCTCTCTCTCTTTGTATACAGACTGTTAGTAGAGTGGTCTCTCTCTCCACAGTTTTCATGCCAGCTAGAACTTAGAAGAGAGACAGAGCGAGAGAGAGAGAGAGAGAGAGAGAGGGGGGGGGGGGGCAAATAGTTCGAACAAGTGCTTCGAACGAGTGCTTCACACTCCATCATTATCAAGCCAAGAGCAGAGCTGGTTATGCATATATGTACATGTAATAATTATATAGCCAAGGCAATAGTAAATACACACAGCTACCACTGAGGACAACGCGAGAACAGCTACTTCAGTAACACAACGACGCTAGAGGGTCGCCAGAGCGGGGTCGGTATCTAAACAAGAGGGAAAATAGAGCTAAAGGTGTATACAAAACCTGTCCAAAAAAAGCTGTACACATAAGCGGATTTACAAAAGAATAGAAATAATCACCTCAACAGGGTAACGGCAGAGCCGAGCACTGTGTGTGCTGCTCAGTACAACAATAACACAATATCAGAGTCAGCAGTAAGGGAGGTATGTGTTGCTGTACATGCAGTGACAAACTTGGAGTGGAGGCTCACATGCCCCCGCACACGGCTAGAGGTTTCGAGTCAGGTATAATAGTGTCCAGACGATATTTGCAGCTCACCGTCGTGATTGCTGCGAATTGTTGGGGTAGGGAAGGAAGTGATATGATATAGAGAACTGCCTCCCATACAATGACTCATTTCAGGGACTATTCTGTCAAGGTGAAGGGGTACACAAGCATGCAAGGTAAAACATCTCTGAAGTTATAGAAGCGTCTAGCGAAAGGGCATTCGTATAGTGTACGTAGAGGCGTGAACCATCACAGGACAGACAGCAGCTGGCACAGCATTCTCAAACGAGGCCCAACAATTAAACACAACCATACTCAAACCATTTTGCGCTTTCAGCATTGTTTTCGCCGTCTTCTGGCTTTGCACCAGCAGCAGCCGCAGCGGATGCAGCAGCAGCTGATGGAGGAGGATCAGCGTTTGTTTGAGGCGACGAGCGGCCAGACACACTACGGCGCTGATTAGCGGGACTGAGCCTTGTCGGTGACTGCTGCAGTTCCTGTATTATTGTGGGAGAAGGATCCAGGGGAGCTGCACTGCCATCGGGAGGCTCCAGCGTGAAGGTAGGCTCAGTAGGTCCTGCAGTCATGATAGCATCCATTGCAGTCATTACATCACCATCCTCGGTACAGCGACTAGATGCGGACGCAGCCCCGCTAGACGGCGTGCTAGTGCGGTTCACCGAGCCAGACGAGTCCAGGGGATTGGAGCCGACACTGGCGCCGTCAGCCAGTGCCTTGGTGCGAGTCAGGGGCTGATGGAAGCTGCCTTGACTATCACGGCTTCTGCTGAGCGGTGGCGTGCCTGCCGACATGGCAGCTCCGACATGAGTGTGCGACGTGGTGAGAGGGCTGGGCGCTGTGTTGTGACTGTCAATGGAACTAGCACTGGATGCCCTGGGGAAGCGACGTGAATTAGGAACATGTGTCTGAGATGCATTCACACCTGTTCACCCAAGAGGATACCACACACATTGAGCAAAAAGGAGCAACAATCATTGGCAGGTACATGAAAGCATATACAGTCAACTTTGCGTATAGCGACACTCGGCGGGGCATCAGAAAAGTGTCCATATTCGCGAAGCGTCCTTATACCCGAAGTCTCATTATATGTATTACAGTTAGATGGGACTTTGCTCTGGGCATTGAAATTCTGTCGTTATTCGCGAATCGTTGTTATATCCGCAGTCGTTATTAGCCAAGTTGACCGTAGTGGCATTGAGCAGTTCTAACTATCATGCAAAGGCAGTGAAGGTAAATAATTTACGGATCAAACTTCACAGGTTACAGCACTACAGCATCAATAATAGCTACACTACCTACCTAACATAACATAACATAACATAACATGTACTGAGCACATGCTGTCTGTGTGGTACATGTACGTGTCTGTGTGGTACATGTACTAACTTGGTGATCCAGCCGATGTACTAGCGCTGCGCTCCATTCCCGGCACGATGTCATTACTATTCTGAGAACTGGCACGGGAATCCACGCTGCCCTGTCGCAGCGTTGCTCGACCTTGGTGGATTGGTTTCTGGCGCCGGAAGTTGTCAGATGACTGCTGCCGTAGTGGCGTCGTCTTCAGAGACTCGAGGAATGCTGGTGCATCAATAGCTGCCACCTCTCTCCTCGGGTTCATGCCACCTGCGGCCAAGGCTGACGGATTCAATGGTGCGTTAGAAGACAGCCTTCTGGATTCGGTCGGCGAGTCTACCAACACCTCATTGAACATTCGCCGCTGCATGCCAACAACGCCAACACACCAACCATGGATACAAATTAGCTTTCATCTGATAGCGAATACCTCCTGGCACATAGAAAAATGACCGTGCTGCAGCCTGTAGGCTATGTCTTGACATAATATGTATGTGTACAGTGATGTGGCAATACTGTGGGTGTACAAGCTAGGGGCTTGCGTCAGCAACAGAGTATGTAGCAGTTACCCATTCACACATGCACACGCCCCCCCCCCCCCCACACACAAACGCACGCACACACACACACGCACACGCCCCCCCCCCCCCCCACACGCACACATACACACACACACACACACACACACACACACACACACACACACACACACACACACACACACACACACACACACACACACACACAACCCACATAACCAAATACAATACTAATTATACACATCACTCGTACCCGAGACACAGGTGTCTTGTCGGTTTCCTTGAGGAAGTCCTCAAGTGTGACAACTTCGCCACCACCGCGCTGACGACTGGCCGGTGATGATGTAGCAATAGATGCTCTGGTGCTTGGACTGTCCATTCTGGCTAGTCCAGACATGAGCTGCTCCAGTTGTGATGCCTGAAACAGGTCAGTGTTTGCAAGTACAATACACAGTTGTCACCCACAATCTTACAAACAGGTCAGCAGTGCGTGCATGTACCACAAACAGTCACCCACAAAATTACACATTGACCAAGACCATACGGCCACAACAGGTTACATGAAAAGCTGAATTCTTGCAAGTACTGTAATTTCACAAATTTTCGGTGTACTTTTATTTTCGGTACTTTCGGTGCATCTGTTTCATACCTAAAATTTCAATACACCGAACACACACTTACACACATGATCCAATAGGGAACTGCTTTTCTGCACCGAAGATTTCTGTTCACCTAACCAGTTACCTGGCCTTTTGCCCTCATACCGAAAATATTTAGCACCTAAAAACTCTGAAATTAGAGTACTTGCACAGATACACATGGCACAGTTCATCAATTCTATACAATGGGTGGTACATGACTCGAGAGCCATTTGACAACCAACAACACCAAGCACATCGGCAGGTGATTCAAGTGAATACTGTACGGTAAACAGTGTTTGACTTACACCGTCCTCGTCCTCATGGCTGTGTCCACTGGCGACGGTGACTGCATCGTTCAGCGACCCGGCCATACTCCTCGCCTTGCGTACGCCGGCTAGCTGTACGAGACTTCCACCGAACGACTCCAGACTTCCAGAGCCGGACATGGCATGCGGTACGGGTAGAGTGTCGGCACGGTCACGCGCTACAAACCGCGGCATGCTCATCGACTGGGGAACACTGCCGGCCGCACCACTTCCAGATGAACTGGAATCGTAACCATCGGTCTTCGTGTGCCCACGGCGATCTTTCTCTCCCTACAGTAAGAACATCGGCCATAAATCATCAATGGATTTTCTTGTCAGTTGTATTTCAGAGAACCCCAATGCATGTGCCCACATCACCATGCAAGAACTGGATTATGGACAGTCTAGAATGGTTACTCAACACTGGGGGGCTTTGCCGGGATAGTGCTACTAAGTCTTAGTGCCTGGAATCACATACAGTGATACTGAATTTTAGTGAGATATCTATTGTTGCGTCTGATATACGCATGTAGACGTTTTTTGTACAGTTAGTGGTAGTGACACGGAAACAGCAGGCGCTCCAGTGCATGGCAAAGGAATGTGCTTTTAATGCTACAAGGTGCAAGGCTTGCAGGACAAAACACTAAATTTCTGAGATGCATGATATTCACCTGTGGAGGGCTATGAAGAACATTGGGATTGGAGCAGAATAGTAAACTACCTGTTGTATGCTAGTATCATGTCATCATGCTGATCAACATGTTGTGCATCGTCTAGCTGGTTCTCAGCTCTTCTTACCCCAAGGAGATTCTTGGCCTTTTTTCCAAAATGCGCCACTTTACTGAGTGCTGACTTCTTCCTGCAATTGCACATGATCAAGAAAGGAAATATGCAGAAGCATGTCATATTGATGGGAGTGATGACAGAACTAGGACATAGGACTCCGAGTATGGGAGTATCAAGGGCAACACACTAAACACAGACCGTTAGCAGTGAGAGGAGAGCTACAGGCTACACTGAAAGAGTCCACTTACTTCTTGGTTTTCTTGATAGTGTCCAGCTGCTCATTCAGTCGACCACGCTCATTCTCCAGCTCTGCTAGACGATCCCTGCGGGCACGTACAAACAAGGAGAAGAAAAGAAGAGCATGGTCATTTTCAACTCAACACACTACGAATGTGGTGGTAGGTTACATGCTTCCCTTGCCTTTCTGTGACCAGGTACATCCTTTATACAACCAGCCCGAATGGGTATTGACCTTCATCTCCATTGTGACATGCAGTATTCTAATAATAATAATGCCGGGCTGTGCCTTGGCTAAGTTGCATAACAATCGTCAATAGTCATTCTCTGTTCTTCCCATGTGCACATACATCCATACACACGGCTCATCGGCTAAGGAGCTACATAGCTACGGGTTGCGGAGCAGTAGAAAGTGCTGTTCAAACTTACGAGAAAACCCGCTCGTCATCAATAAACTTGTCCTTAGCTTCATCATTCTTCATCCTCAGCTCTCTGTTCTCCAGCAGCAGCTTCTTGACTTCAGCATACAGATTTCTGATCTCTTCACTAAGATTGCTGCTCATTTGCTCCAGGGCCTGCATTGGAATAGGACAGAAATGGCATTAAAGGGGAAGTCTGGTGAAAAATTTAAATTTCACAGTCCGTAGAGTTCGGGGCGCTGAGTCGAATGGTCTTTGTCCGAGGAGGCTGCGGCCTATGGTTCGTCAGATACGCCCAATCGAACATGTGCGGATTTGAGCGCGCCTCACCCAGATCCAGGTGATGACGTCACAGCGTGCAGCCAGGTGGCCACACCATCTAGATGTGTACAAAAACGGCCATATTCGGAGCGCGTTCGATTGGGGAACCGTTTGTCGCAGCTTCTTCGGACCAAGACCATTCGATTCAGTGTTACAAACACTACGTACCCTGTGATTTTCAGCTCGGTAAACCTCGAGGTTATACCGTATTTTAGCCGTTTCCGAGTTGGACTTTTTCCGTCGACATGCACTGGCCTCTATCTACGGCTCTAGCAATGCGCTGCGTGCATGCTACCTGTAGTGTAGTCAACAAACTAATCACACACGGAACTACTCCCGCACTGCCATGCTGGGGTAGGTACAACAAGACTCGAGCCACAAGACTCAGAAAACTAGTCAACACACGGACTTGTCATGTACTACACTCGTATCAGTCGTGTAGTCAGAGAACGAGCGTTTCTCCTTGCCGGTGGTGGTTGTGCTTTGAGAAAGAAAATTTTAGTTTTCCGCTCCCGCCTCATTATTTTATGCTACAGCGATGAGTGCACAACCGTGACAAGTGACAAAACAGCGAACAGCTCCCGGACCTAGAACTTTCAGATCCCGTAGCGTTGCGAGCGAAGAGTCGTGCCCGTAGTTCAAAGAGCCTGCACTGTTCTCCAATTGAGTGTCCGAAATACGCCAAGTTCGCACCAAAACATCACCATGTGGCAGGTTACTGGAGTCTAAGCGAATCGGTATGGAACAACATTTAGTCTTAGAGCACTCGCATCACTCTTCTCCATTTTGGCGACTCTGCTCTCCAGCGAGCTGATAATTATATCAGCTTCGTCTGCAATAGCTGCTGCTTCTTCACCAGTCGGAAACTCAGTAGCGCTCACTCTTGACCGGCCCGCGCGGCCATTTCTTCAGCTGAATACCGAGGTTCTCAGCCCCAGACCGAACTCATGAAGGTCAGCCATGGCTGCATCCTCACTCTCACAAGGAGTTACGCCTTCGGAGTCGCTTGCACCACCTACTATGGGTCGCCAAATCATTTGAAATAGCACTGACACTATTGCTTTCACGCACTCCTTTTGACCTAGCTGCACGCTATGACGTTGCGGAGGGTGTGGCGCGGCCGCATGACGTCATGGCGCAGCCCCCCGAAACTCAGTTTTTCAAACGGAAATATCTCGAGAACGCTTTGTCGGGGACATGTGGGACCAACACCATTCGACTCAGCGGCCGAAACTCTACCAACGCTGAAATTTAAATTTTTCACCGGACTTCCCCTTTAACAAGTAGAAACAGCATTGACAAGTGCACCTCAAACAAAAGAATTCAGACACCAGACGTGCAGATAGCAAATATATCGTTCTTCGAGTAGAAATCAAAATGGCCTACATTCATGTTGCATGTTTGAAGTACCAAAGAGCTAGATATTTGCACTGCTCACCCCACACTGTACTATTACCTCCCCCCCCCCCCCCACACACACACCACACACATACACATACACCACACATACACCACACATACACCACACATACACCACACATACACCACACATACACCACACACACACACCACACATACACACATACACCACACATACACCACACATACACACCACACACACACACATACACCACACATACACCACACATACACCACACATACACCACACATACACCACACACACACACACCACACATACACACATACACACATAAATGCACACATACACACACATACTCACACATACGCTGTAACCCTCCCCCTCCCCCCCCCCCCCCCCGTCCCCCCCCCCCACACACACACACAAACACATACTTTAAAAACGTAGGAAATGTATCAGCAGCAAAACTTACATCACACCGGTTGCTCAATGCCTCATTGTTAGCTTCGATTTGAGAGCTGTGCGTCTCCAGCTGGTGGTTGGTCATCTGCGCAACCTGTAACTGAGCACCGGCGGCATGAAGCTGCTGCCGTGCTTCTTGCCATTGCTGGCGAGTACTTTGCACTTGATGACGACTGTGGTTCAGCTCATCCTCCATACTAGAACTCTGTGACGCACGGCAGTAGAGTTACAGCATGTACACGAGTGACAGTAGTACAGTGTACAAGGTTATGAAATCCCACCGTGACTATGTCCTGGCGTTTGAAACGATATGCTGGCTCTAGTGCAGTACGACCACAACCAGAACTAAGCCAGTAAATCGTGCTGACGGAAGTCACTCCAAAGACTTACAGATCACACAGTAATAGAATGCGAACACACACGCCTGTGTCTTAGGGACGTTAGGGGAGATTAAGGTATACGTACGGTGAGAAAGAGCGACTAGAGCAGCAAAAGGTTGCTAATCAGACAGAAGACAGGATTACTCGTGTAACTTTGCTATGCATCCTCTTAGGAGACGGTCTACAATATGTATACATGTACAGCTGCCGGATAACACAGCAACACTTTAGGGTAGTGCTTTAGGACCTTTCGGTAGCCATTAAGTAAAGCAATATTCATGGAAGTTGAATTCTCCTGACCATACCGTCAATTTAGCTGGTTTTCAACATGACCAACAAACATATTGTCAGAGTCCAATCGTAGCTTTCTGTGGCCTGTAGACGGTGTATGGAGAATGTCTCAAGAGCTAGGAAAGTCTGAAACGACTAAAAGAGCTTACCTGCTGGTGTGCTGTTCTCAGCTGTTTCCTGACACGACCAAGTTCATCATTTAGTTCAGAAATCTACACACATCAGCACAACAAACCTTGGTCACTCGCAAGATACAAGGCAATCTTATAAACCAATACAACAGCGCGGCATGGCCTTGTTTCAAGCTGACGGAAAGAACTGTGAGGCGTCCAGTACTATGTGTGTGAAGCACAAACAAACAGCACAAGACTAACATTGGTTAAAACAGCACAAGACTAACATTGGTTAACAGCAGTTACCAATATTTACCTGCATTTTGCTAGCATGAAGCTGACGTCTGAGATTTCTGATTTCACTTTCCAGGTCCGCTTGCTGCTCACAACGGACAATACACAATGACAAGAAAGCGAAGAAAAAACACAGACGCAAACTCAGTCAGTCAAGTGTCAAGTGTCAAGTTGGCGGAATAGCATGAGCTCCAGTGTGGGGAGCAAACCCTTTCCTTTTATTTTCTTTTTCTTTTTTCCTTTCTTCTTTTTGAGTATTTGCAGTCTGTGTTCTTCTCTCTTTCGTAGAGGTTTGTTGTATCATTGGCTTTTGGCAGTTACTTTATCGCCATCATAAAATTGGGCATCATTACCCGTTTGGTATGCGACACAAACAAACAAATCTTGCATATTCCCATATTGTAGCATAAGAAATTCATTCTAAATACAACTGAAGTGAATGAAAAACACTGCAGTGGTGCAGAAAATGAATACGACGACTATCCCTACCCAAGGTTGGGACTTGGCACCACAGCAAACATGTCGTTCCAGATGCCACCTCCTCCCCACTTTCCAATCTATAGTAGTAGTTTTTCACCTTCACCTCCCTTCCCCCCCCCCCCCTTCCCAACTGCAGTGTAGTAGGTTTATGTGACCGGAGGCAAAGATTATCACAAAGCATCTGTGAATCCCGAACCGCACTTACCTCCCCCTGGTATTGCCGTTTTATGCTGTTCAGTTGGCTCTCCAAGGCCGAGTACTGCAAGAGAATTGACAGAGTTGATCAAAGCACAATTAGGAACAAGGAGTAGCACTGCTACCTGAAGAACCTAAAAGTACAGTAATAATTATTGCTTGACTAGTAGTCTTTCTCCAATAAAATCCCAAGTGAAGGGACATGCAAAATAGAAGCCCTCGGTTTCAAACAACCCCCGCTTCCTCTCCCTCCTCTACAGTCTTCCATTGCATGCCCAAAGTTACCTTGTTGTTTGCAGTGCCAGTGGACTGGTGATAGCAAGTCAATAATTCCCTTTCTTTACCCATTGTGCAAACTAAAGCTGGATACAAATCTATTTCATCCCTTGGTGCTGACCGCTTCAATGCGCTTCCCGAATCCCTTCGCACTAATCATGTCCCCAATTCATTTCGCCAGGAACTTAACACATTCATTCATCTTGGGCACCCTGTAAGAAGACCTCAGGGTCTATTGGGAATGCCCAAGTAAAATAATAAAATACAATACAAATGGCAAGTTTCACTGGTGGGCTAGTGCGGTGTGTGGCACAAGTAACCACCAAAAAGCTCAAGATCATTACCTATGCAAAGACTGATCGTGTGAGTGTGGTACACTACATGCATAGGTACCTGACAACTATCAATGTCTATGTGCATGATGCCATCTTCACTGGTTGACCAATCTCTAGTCAATGAAGCATGTGATGAATTCATGACAACTTGAGAAACAGTTGGTAAGCCTTATGTACCACTAGAACACATCGCCTGAGAATGGACAAGCACCGATTTCCGCCTATTGGACAAGCATGATTTCGTGATCACGCATTGTGTTACTAGGTTTGTGCCTGATGAAATCCAAGCCAAATAGCTAAGCAAGTACCCTGCTCCGGGCCAAAATCCCATGTTTGCAGTGCCAGTGCTACACAGTACCCATGATATGAAGGCTGTCTAAAAAGGTCAGATTTCACTGATCAAGCAAGTTGAAGACTGTACTTCTGTATGTGTCTGTTCACTGCATGCAGCTATTCAGACTTAGCTGATTGACAAGATACTGTGCTGGGAACATGATGCAGCACAGGCTGATAGTGTTGTGAAGCCTTACTTCAGTTTTCATTCTTTTCAGCTCAGCTTGGAGACCCTCTGGATCATAACTACCACTCTCATTCCTGCAGGAACCAGACAACAATGACCATTTCAAAGAACTTGGCATCTCTATTTCCCATTCATTCCGCTATGTTCACTGATAGAGAAGAGCCACGCCGAAAGCTGCTACAGAGAAAGCCAGTGAAAGTAATGGTAACAAAACTTGACCAGACAGGCAGATAAGAAACACAAATCCGTACCCTGCAACTCAACAGTGATATTGCAATACAAACCAAGCAAGCCCAAAGCCTTCAACAATATATCCTTACAGATTGGACGCTGACTGCTCTCTGCTAACAGAAAGCGGGTCATCAGAACCTCCCAGTGTCGGCGAATCACCGCGAGAAAAGTTCAGAGTCCTGCAATGAACACCAGGGAACAACCCACTGCATTTACGTCTTCAATCAAGTGAATATATTCAAGCAAACATATCAGATGTGTGCCCTGTCTGTGTGGATTAAAAACACATTTTTCTTGATGTATCTGCTCTAAGAAGTAACATAAAGGCTGTTAGATTCTCAGCCAGGTCCGTTGCATTTCTAAATAGGCACACTTTACTTACAGTCGCTTGCTCGCAGTACACTGTACATGTACTCTGTCTTCATTGTTCCTTTCTTCTTGCTCTATTTCAGTTGAGAAGCTCCGCACACAATTCTCTGCATCCCTAGGTATCCCTAGGCATCCCTAGGTATCCCTAGGCATCCCTAGGCATCCCTGATCATATACCTACAACTGTTATGTCCCATGTCTTGCCTCTGCGGCACTTCCACGAGTCAGTATTTTCTCACCATTCCTGCACAGCTTCTGCACTGTATACTGACTTACAACACAAGCAGTCACCACGTGGAAGTTGAATTGTCCTGCTCTTCCAGAAATGTCGGCAACATTATACTGCTAGTCACTGTTAGTATTGGACAATGACTGGTACTCTATGTTGTCTGAGCGCCATAGTGCTTGCGTGATTAGTCAAGTGGATTCTGCTCTATGAAACACATGACCGCTAGCTACCGATGCCTAAGGACATGACTGTCGCACGAACCAACACTGGCCCAGGTTTACACACAGACCTCTAGTCTTGTGGGCATATTTCCACATAACATTACAAAATTACATGTCCCACCCAGAGACAAAAACAGTATCACACACCGTCATCGTACGAGCACCACAGCAAGCTAACCAGATATATAACATGTATACATGTTCATGTACCACAATCAGCATGTAAGGCACCAATTAGAACGAAGCACTATACATGCATTGGAAGTTATGCTCAGGAATGACGTTGCCAATAGCCAGGCACAACTTCTTGGCTAGAAAATATACAGTTCATACAAAGAGTAATATGCGCATGGATATATGTACTATTATTATCTCAGAATACATCGAGATCAAAAGCGACTTCCAAACGTCAGGTGACACATATCATTTCACACAGCCACATAATCCGTACACAGGGCAGTGGGTGCTATGACTATTGTTGATCAGCACTTGCCAGTTCAGCTCTTGTCATTCGCCACAGTATGCCGCAATCAACACAAGCATGCCACACTCTACAGCCAGCCACAACAGCACAACAGCACACCAGTACACTACACTATAGTATAGTATTTGGCGTGGGTAACACCATCCTGTTCAGCAGAATTCGAATGGCTCGGCTACAAGAGTGCACATCAACAATTCGGTGACAACAAAACAACGATGGAATTGACGACACAATGACAACATGGACCAAAATAACAACACCGTGACAACACCGTGACAACACCGACAAAAAAATGACAACACAGGGCCAAAGGACCAGAACAACAACGAGCACAAAGCATGTGTGAATGCAGTGCAGATATAATTACGCACATGCATGAAGAGGTGGAAGACAGGGTACACACACACCAAAGACACCAGACGCACGCCGCGTATGAGTTCAGATGCTTTCAAATTGGTCTTCCAATGCATCGTAATACTCTAGTACGTGTATGTGGCACATTGCTAGGTCCCTGGCCAGCCCACTAAGGATCACACGACTGAGTGTGACCACCGCAGTGACGAAAAATCCAAACACAACCCTTCTTTGTAATATGAGAAAGTGGTAGTGACTTCGGCGATGGTTACATAGGGAAAATGTTTGCTCCCAACACCGGAGCTCGCGCTTTCCGCCGACTTGACTTCGATGGACTTCTCGTGTGCTCTGGATGGCGGTCCTGAGTCAGTCAAGTGTCAAGTCAAGTCGGCAGAAAGCACGAGCTCCGGTGTGGGGAGCAAACAATTTTCCTATGAAATATCTTGAGAAAAATTTTGAATTCAACTGCAGGAGGAACATGGTAACCATGATTCGAAGTGCTTGTCAAGTTGAAAAGCAGGAGCCTGTACTGAACGAGTGGAAGACAAGGTACAGAGCTCTGGAGAGTGAGCTGGCTCAAATCAGGCGGCCACGCCGGCGATGCAGCTAAGTTGAGAGCTGCTGGAGCACACTCCCATGTTCATGAGGCTGCGAACGGTCTTCAGCAAGGCCAGAAGAAAGGCAGCATGTTTGTGTTGTGATCACGTGAAAAGGACCCCACCGCTTCTATCCCATACCACGTCATTCCACCTATCTGTGAATACAGCTACTTGGTCCAGCTCATCGCAATTGTCGCTTATCTCCCACGCACTTTTTGACAGGTAAAACCCAGTCCAATCACGATATCTAACTTACTTTTGCTTGGGAGGTTGTGATGGCAAGATCAAACGAGGCACCAAAGAAAAATTATCGCGACTAGCGCTTTGAATCGCGATGAATTTATTGTCTGTGTTGCCAAACGCCAAGCGCAGCGACCTGAAGACGGGAACTGTAGCAGGGGCAACTGACATCCTAGCCTGGAGAGAGTGGCAGGCACGCGTGCACGGCAGAGGAGTATGACTATGAGCGTCATGCTGAAGAAGAAAGGTGTTTTCGATGTGCGATGCAGACGTTTTGGTTTTTTGTTCCTTCTGGACTTGGCAGCAGCATTACAATAGTCGTGGTCAGCGTATCCAGTGGAGCGTATGACAGCTGTCTGGAGAGGCCTGTATGCCTCATTCGAAGGCTCTGTTGAAACACACTGTGGTGACACACAGGTCACACTGCCCAAGGGTCCTTCAAGCACCGAAGTGACAGCCACAACTGTTCCTTTCCCATTGCTGCCATACGACAGGCTGAGAAAGCAAGAGATGCTCTACCAGTCTACGCCAGCAGCTAGACACCAGCAATTAAATGTAAGGTCATGTAACCAGGCAGGAGTGATGGAGAGTTGAATGAACTCTGGACCTGTAAGAGTCTGAGTTCAAGAACCCGCTCCTTCGCTGATTTATTTCGTGCATTTTGCTTACCTTCCTTCCCTTCTATGACTCGCTTCACCTGATTCCATGGCTCAAATTTTTTTCTTGTGGCGGAGAGTATTCATGTATCATGCTTCCTCACTATGCCTATTGAAAATTTCGCAGAGTGGCAACAAAACTCTTTTTCTTAGTGGCGATAGATAAGCGACAATTGCGATGAGCCGGACCAAGTAGTCCATTAATTTTTTGATGATACTGGTACTCTGCATAAAAACTCTCACTATTGTTCGTATTTACAGGACTCTATGCCAAACAAGTGACAAAGAAGACACGAATAAAGACAAATCCAGCCGAGCAGCACAGACACTTCATTTCCAGTATAACTGTGTACTCACTGTTGGACATCTGCAGCTTCTTCTTGACGCGATGTACCGCCGGTAGTTCTCTGCTGAGTGGTGGGCGTACCAACAGTCTCCATCACACCGCGAATAGACTCCACAACACCAACAACGGCCGGCACGATAGCTAGACCAGTGGATGACTTGGAAGTGATGGTATCGCCTTTCATAGTGCGACTGAAAGCAGGATAAACACAGGAGATTTCTTGACCAATCAGCCTGGTTGTTACCATACTGTACAGCACAATCCATGTACAGTCAGTCAGTGCCACACTACACAAATCACCAAATTCTACTAAAGGAACTTAGAACACAACAGCCCCCAGCAGTACCATTATTATAGTTTACAGAAAAAGTGAGAAAAGCTGAAACCCCATAAATTGCAGGGGTGTGTGCATGTCTTAGTGTGCCACAAGCAAATATGTACATAAGCTTCTTTTATCAACCACGGCACACTCCATAGAAAACCGGTCTTGTAAGTAGAGTTTGCATGACTGCGCTGCAACCGTGCACGGGTCTCAAACTCGGGACCTTTTTTGCTTCGCAGGCAAACCCACAACCACTCGGCCAAAGCACGGTTCTTCCTGTAGACCGGTGTGCATTGCACATAGGTTCATATGTATGTATGTTGAAACATGATTGCATGGTTGAGATGACCGACGTCGACAGCAAGGTCACAGCTTTCTAAGATATACATAACAGTGCATAGATGCATATCATCGTAACTCGACGTAAACCTTAACCATTCTGTTGCTGTACCTCAGCAATGGAGATGAACCCGGAGATGCAATGAGTGATGATACCGCACGAGTGAGAGCTGGCGATGAAGATAGAAGAAGCGATGCTGCAGCACGAGGCGTGATGACTTTAGTGGCCTTCACGGTCGATGCTGACTTGGTAAGTTCAGCTGTCACAAACGATGGTGTTATGGGAGTTGTTTGGGGAGTTGCCGTTGCACCCATCTTCACAGGTGCGACAGCCTGCATTGGCTTTCCAGCGTTCTCGGATGCATCATCTTCTCCTGTCTCTGCTTGGTCCTCTGGTACTGTTTCTTCTTCATCTGGTCCACCGAGGAATCCTCTTGCCTGAGCCAATGCCACTACTTGTTCCAACCATAACCTGCAAGTGTACCACATACATAACAACACATACCACACAGGACACAATGCTCTTGTTACTTTCAGTCGGTCAACAATGCCAACCATGTCCAGCCACATTGTGTGTGTGTGTGTGTGTGTGTGTGTGTGTGTGTGTGTGTGTGTGTGTGTGTGCGTGCACGCGCGTGTGTGTGTGTGTGTGTGTGTGTGTGTGTGTGTGTGTGTGTGTGTGTGTGTCCCATATGGTGCAGTGGTATGTGCAGCGATTTCCAATCGATAGGTTGCGGGTTCGATTCCCGACGATTATGGTCACACACGTCTTTCTTCTCTTTCTCAGACTCTTCCTGACTTTTCTTTCATTCTCCTGGGTGGTTACCAACAGCCAGTGCATGCCGGAGTATGTGGTGTGATGTGTGTGTGGGAAAAAAAGAAAAAAAAGAAAAAAAGAAAAAGACCAAAAATAGGGATTCACTGGCCAGAAAAAGTCACTTCAAATAGCTGTATGGTGTAGACCAGGCTGAATAGTGACGGTCAATTCTTCAGCCTTGCAAGCTGTTGAATGGTGCAATCCCAGCACAAGTTGCTATGGCTTCTGCCGTAGCATTGCTATCATCGCCTCCGGCGATGGGCGTCAAAGGTCAAAGGTCAAAGGTGTGTGTGTGTGTGCCATGGACTTTGTAAATGTATGATTGGTGGCACTGGAAGCACTGCTACAGTGGGCTAGCATATCTGTAAGAATTGTTCCAACAAAGACTAAAAAACATAGGCCCACTAATAATTATGGGAACTGCTCGCACTATACGACTCGTAATAATAACCGCTCGATCTATTTCTTATCGAGTAAGTAACGAGTAATCGATATAATCGTTTCAGCACTACAAACATGTTGACCTCCACCAGTAGCACTCCACTTCACAGCGGTAGTGCGGGTAGATTGACAATGATCAGTAATATGGTATTACATAAGGGTGTGAAGGAATGAAACCGCAGCTGGATTCACAAAGCTTAATCCGTGTCACAACAGCATGCTGGAAAGTTGTGCGTGCTTCCCCTAGCTGCATCTCATGTTTGGCATTTAAGTGGTCTTTGTAAAAATAAATAAAATAAAAGATAGAATAAAGAGTGGTAACTTACTCAACTTCTGTCTGGCAAGCCATCTCCCGGGACTCGGTACACGTAGTCTGTACACAAGCATTACTCTGCTCCACACGAACAGGTGCCGGGGCCATCACTGGCACTGCTAAACTTCTACTGTGCTCAGACATCGGCGAGGGAGCCATGGCCAGGGGATTTTGATCCACTTCGGTCATTTCACCATTCGTCAGCGCACTGGCATTCTGCACTTCAGGTGATGTACCCACCTCAGCAGTCCTGATCTCCTCTGCCTTCCTCTCTTCTCTGAGCACTTCAGCTTTCCGTCTCTCCTCAGCCAATTTCTGCTCCAGTGTTTCAACACGCCGTTTGAGTTGTTCTTGATCAGCCTCGGATCCCTGGACATGCTGACGTTCTTCGTTGAGACGCTGCTCATAACGACTTACTCTTTCGGCTGTTTCGCTTTGAGTAATTTCCAGGCCCTCTCGCCGTACTCTCTCTTCTCGGAGAAGCTTTGTCAGGTTTTCAGCCTTGGTCTTTTCTGTTTCGTTTTGCCTCTCAAGTCGATCGGCACGGTGCTTCTCTTCCTCGAGCTGGTCGTCAGCAAGGCGCAAGCGATCGTTACCCATAGCTACTTCTTCACTGGTGGAGACAAGCTTATCGGATGTGGAGCGCAATTCTTGGTTAGCTGTCACCAGCTTCACTGACACTACGGCTAGCTCCTCAGAAGCGCTTGTCAGATCCTACACAGGTAGAGCAGCAAAAGAAAATGTATGAAGAAAATGGCTGGCAACAGAAGGTGCTATCCATAACACCATCACTACCGTGACAGTACACTAATACACCGATACAGTCGTCCCTCTTTAATACGGCACTTTATAAACCAGCACCCTCTATAAACCAGCACAATTTTCATTAGCCAAAATGTCCTCTTCATGCACATTGCAACAGTAGATCAGATTTGTTAATCCAGCACCCTGCCTAATCCAGCAGAATTTCTTTGCCACAAAAGGTGCGCCACCGTACTAACCAACCCAAGGCAACGGAAGGTGTATGTATGCACTTAGCATCAAGCACATACAATTCACACAACTATTATCACAACTCAAGGATGTGGATGGCTAAGTCTCAAATTGTCCACCAGAGACCGTCTACATCAAGATCAACGTACATTTCTAAGTTGCAACTTCTCCTTCTCGGACAAGTCCAATCTGTAGGGACAACAAGACACAAGAAGTTCATGGTGACGAGGACAACCAGACACAAGAAGTTCATGGTGACGAGGACAACCAGACACAAGAAGTTGATGGTGACGAGAAAGTTCTACATACTAGTACAAGGTATACTGTCGACACATGGAGCACCATAAGAGAAAATACAATGCAGGAATACTGTACAAGGAAATGGAACACAATGGTAAACCAACACACAGCAACTTCCAACCACTCTAGGACCATTGCCACAGCATCTAACCTTGATCACTCTTATCCCCCAACAACTGGACAATCACCTTATAAGCGCATGGTGGGGAAGGCGGGGGGGGGGGGGGGGGGGGGGGCAGCCAGGAGCACTGCCCAACAACATGTGGCAAATTGGAAGTAAACCTTGTCCATACCTTGCTTCTAAGCTAGCAATGCGATCTTGTGCAACCTCTGACTTCTGCTGGGCAACATCATCAACACGCTGTTCCAACTCCAAGTACTTGCTGTAGAATTTTTGCACACAGAAAAGGAATTTCATGTTGATATGTCAACTAGTTCTGCCATACTTAGGACTGATGATGCAATGTGACAAAAGCACCCAAGATATGATATATTAACCCTTTAAAAGCCGACCCATACTTGAATGCGTAGAATTCTACGCATTCGTTTTTCTGTTCCACATGGCGTGATTTAGCTCGTAGAACTCTCGTTCAAAGGGGAAAGGGTCATGAACTAAACCTGCCTTCGATCTAAACCCATTTCCAAGGTGGTTTGTATCTAAAAATCTGAAGGAATCGAGGTTCTAAAGTGCGCGACAAAGCACTGCGCACTCAAGCACATCCGTGCGGAAACTAGTTAGAGACAGACTGGCATTTGCACAGTACTTCGTCCAAACCCAAGCCAAAGTTGCTGTTTGACGACAAGAAGAACAAGCAATGGCTGCCAAATTAGATACGGACGCTGCTCTAGCAATGCTAGCGATGCTTTCCTCGGACGATGATGCCTCCAGTGAGAGCATTTCCTCCGAGTCGAATGATGAACGCGACATGCTGCCGTCGGACGACAAGGAGGAGATCGATTTGAATTTAGCTGCTGAAGACACACTTTCCGCTGATGCCGGGGCATCCTGGAGCTCTGATGGCAGCGGCAGCATGAGTGACTCTGGAGACGACGACGACTTTCTCCCAATCCCAGGACCAGGCCGAGGAGAAGTCGCAGCACGTGGAAGAGTTAGAGCGGGGCCAGGTCGAGGCCAATCAGCTGATCACCCACGTGGCGGAGGAAGAGGACGTGGACATGGGCCTGGAAGAGGCGCTCACGCCGCGGCCGCTCCTATAATCTTCCACGAGTGGAACAACATCGACCCTGAGCCAGAGCCTTGTGTCTGCGAACCGGCGAGAGAACACGGACTTCGCCTGCCGGACGACTTTCAGCCCGAGAACGAGATGAACGGGTCATGGCTAGATGCTCCATGTCAAGAAATTAGAAGTTTCATAGCTCTGTTGTTGTATTTTGGCCTAGTTCAGGTTCCAGACGTAGACAAGCATTGGAGCGTTAGGAGTATATACCATGGCCTCTGGACACGGAAGTTGTTGTCCTGAGCTCGTTGTCGTGCCATAAAGGCCTTTTTCCATTGCTCCCCGTTCGGTGAATGAGCAGACAATGATCGACTCCGGAAAATTATATATTTATACGGTCACTTGCGCGGCCGGTGCAAGCAACTATGGCAACCGGGCGCGCAAGTATCGCTTGACGAGAGGATAATCAGATTCAAGGGTGGACAGCAGATGAAGGTATACGTGAAACATAAGCCAGTGAAGTGGGGCTTCAAGTCGTATACGCTTTGTGATGCCAATAATGCATACAATCCACTGAATGTTGGTCCTACCGGCAAAGTATTATTTTAGGATATGCTAGAAATAGCCACAATAACGGCTTCCAAATTGGTGGTAGCTTGCCAAACACTGAACGCAGGACAAATTGATAGGCCTGCCACGTAATTTTCGTGAGAACCTTGTGCGGCAGCTCGGTGGCCTGTCATTGTGTCATTGTCATTGTATTGTGTGCACCACCGGAAACTACGCACGCCCCTGCCGTAGCCAAATTCAAGCAACTACACACTGCCCACACTCCACAGAATGAAGGCAGGGGTGCCAACTGCAGTGTTTGCTGGAAGACCCAGCATACCCGGCGCAGGCGAAGACCGTTTGCTTCAGTGCGGCCTGCCGCGATGATAAACAGAGATAAACAGATAAACATCACAAACGATAGACTGTTTTCAATTGTTCCATTCCCCTGCCTATGATGCTTACCGCTAGAAATTAGGTTAGAAAAGCTTGGTACTTTCAGGTTGCATTTGGTTGGTCACATTCCACAATGGGAATCACTGGGAATCATTCTTGCCCGTTTGTTTGGTCAAACAATTCCGTTAGGTTGGTCCCATTCCAGAATGGGAATCGCTGAGATTCCAGAATGGGAATTGCTGAGATTGACTCTTTTTGGAGAATGATCATTCCACCTCACATGCTGGCATGAGCATTCTCATTCCGGAATCAAAAATGATAACGGTTGCCGGAAGCCAAACAATGTAGCGACAGATTCAAGTGCCTCAAATCATGCACTCAGAAGTACCTTGACTCTCTCAAGGAAACTAGAGTCGGGTAAAAGTGAAGAGAGCAGCCGTTCCACAACATCATGGAATTGTTCTGTCAAATGATTCCTACTTGAAGAAGTTGATTCTGGCGCGTTTGTTTGGTCAGGTGATTCTCACCCATTCCCATTCCAGAATAGTTGTCATTTACGTTCTGAAAATGCCCAACCAAACGCAACCTCAGTAGGTCATTGTATAGGTCATTGACACTGACATGTATACTTTCACATTACAATTTAGAATAGTTCGCAATTGTATATAATTATTTATTTCCTATGGCCCTGGGGTCATATAGAATGCTGGGATTTTTAATATTTTGCTTTTCTGTGACTCTTTAGGGCATATGCTGCTAGTGAAATACACAAGATAAAGGCTTGGTATAGGCCATTGACACTCATATCTATAAGTTCACATTATAATTCAGAATAGTTCGCAATTATGTATATATTTCCTATGGCCCTGGGGTCACATAGAAAGCTGGAATTTTCAATATTATACTTTTCTGTGACTCCTTGGGCTTGGGGTATACGCTGCTGGAAAAAATAAGTGTGTATGCAAAATTCGCTTGATATTTGCACTGTGGCCATGTTTCTACATGCCCTGTTTCCCAAGCCCGAGTATACTCGGGTAGAAAATGTACTGTATGTACAGTGAACTCGGATTGCGTATACCTCGCTATTCAAACCTTCGCAACTCTGTTATACTTTCTTCGATTCTCACACCTGACAGCTCGTTGGAAAGCTGAAGGAATAAGCTTTCCAATGTTATGTCGTTTGCTGGGGCGAAAAGTAAAAATATTGGAGTGCCGAAGGTGGAAATGAAATTTACGCCCGAAATACAGGGCACAACATTTCGCACATCGGATTTTCGAGTGAAGATCCGCGGGAAGGGACTTTCCCTGTGACTCACAGCGGCACAGCCCATGCGTGTCGGGTACCAAAATAAGCGCTTGAACTTCAGGAATCTGAGAGAGTTTGAATTTTTCCTCTGCGCTGTCTGAGTAAAACTGTATAAGTGAAGAAATTTGTGACTGCGTGTGGAGTATCTCTTCGAGGCCCGATAGAGCAGCTCCCAACGGAGCGTAAAGGCAACTCTATTGCTCATGCTGAGTGATTATTCGTTTCGTTTGGACAGAGAAGGCTTCAAGCTTTCCAAAGAGCCCAAGATCATCAACTTCCGTTCCTGGTGAGTGAAGTTAGATTTTTTTCAAATCGCTGGTCTGCTCTGCAGAGTGACAGAGAGCGAGGCTCAGCGAGCGACTGGGAATTCATGGGTTTCAGGCCGGGTGGAAAAACTATTTGCACAAGGAGATCATAAATAGCTAAGCAGCAGTTTTGAACGCTAAATGACTTACCGCTTCTCCTCAATAAGCTGCCCCTGCACCTGATGCTCTCGTTGGGCAAATTGCCGCTGAAGATCTTCCCTGAATTTCTTCTTCTCATCAACAGCCTCCTTGACCTTCTCTCGTTCACGCTTCAGTTCCTGAAAGAAAGAAAATCCCACAGAGAGTCCGCAACCCATGAAGAAGGTCCTTCCAAATCCATGCTGAACCTGAAACTTATTTATCAGTCTACTCTGAAGCCTCCCAGTGAGTTCCCATGGAGTTCTACACAACGTGAGAGAGGGAAGGTTTACGTAGTCCTCGCCTGTGGTCAATATAATCTAATGGAATTGCAGGTACTGTAAGTCAACAAACATTCGGCGCATATTTATTTTATTTTCAGCTATATTCGGCCTGGTCATGTTTGGCCGAATATTTGTTGCTGCCGACATTTTGTTTTGCAAGGTTCAGTGTGGCAGTAGTGTATACAAGTGGCAGCAGTACAGGCCGAAAATTTAATGCGGCCAAAATGGGTTTTAGCCCTGGGAGGCCGAAATCTGAACAGGCCGAAAATTGGTAGACTTACAGCACAGTGATTTCTTCTATTTTAATTATATTTCAAAAAACATGTATCAATGCAAAATGGGCATCCACAGGCATATATTCAGGATTGAGACGGTCAGGTGGCCACAGGAGAATGCATCACCACTTACTTCACGAGCAATTGCAAGTTCCTTCTGTTCACCAAACCGCTGTGACTGCATGGTCTTATTCTGCGTCTCCAGGGTTGATAGGCGTGCTTTCGTTTCCCGCAAGTCAGCCGCAGCACGGTCCAATTCACGATTGTCCCGTTCCAGCGATGCCAGTCGACTTTGGAGTCTAGGCATAGCCAGCAGAAAGATTCAACCACAGTTCATATCACTTTCGCCACAATAGCGGTATGTTCTGATACAAATAGCAAATTTCGGAAATCGCCATGCCAAGCCAAGTTACGCCTGGCTTGCACTGAAGCCGATACCTTAGACTGTTTAGACTTCTCCAGGCCATGACATCATTACCATGATTCGTGCATGCACAGTTGAGGTCTTCCTACAATGTGTTTACCCCCTATATCTGTGGAGGTCCTGCAGTTTTCCTATTTGTAACAGTGCTGCTGTGCGCATGTCTATGCTTCATAACACATACACACAACTAGGTGAGCGCTTTGTAACACCGTCTGATGTACGTGACAATATCAGTGATTAGCAACACTATGTCAGTGATTTGTAACACATGCAGACGACTATGTGCGTGCAGCTCACAGTTCAGCATCAGACTTCTCCTGGGCAGCCTGTGCCAGATTGAACTCGACATTTCCCAGGGATGGTGTAACTGCAGAATAGGGTAGGAAGAAAAGCCACAAACAGCAATGACCATCTCTTGGTATTCCATGCCATCCATCGTTTGCAGTGTCATCTCAAAGTTCAATATGCAAGGTTTTTTTTAAGGGTACAGTGCAGTACCTGAGCCAGCAGGCGTGGCAAACTTCAAGTTGTCCAATTCTTGCCTCAGATCTTCAATCTGATCAAGACTGTGGGACACACAACAGAGAACAGTGCATCATATCAGAGGCAGACAATGTCACAAATACCACGAGTAAACCCATGTTGACTCAAAGAGACCAATTCGAAAAAGTCAGTGAACTCAGTGGAAAATCAAACACACCCAAATTGTCTGCGGTGAACCAAAGATTCATCCACTACCTCTCCCCTGGACACATACCCAGTCTCTTATCATCACTACTATAGGTCACGTGCACACCGGTAGGATTGTTATAAGCACTATGCGCACAGTACTGAAATAGTTTGAAATACAATTACTTGAAGTACCTTGGTACTAGCAAGCATGCAGCTGACAATACAGTAAAACCTGTGACTAACAACCACCACCCCTTGGGACCAGAGAAAGCGGTCTTTAGTGGCAGGTGGTCCTTAGTTGGAGGTTTGCACTGTACAACCATTATATGAATGTGAGACCGTCCGTGCCTGGCAAAGTGGTCTGTAGTAGCAGGCTGGTCGCTAGTCACGGTGGTCTTTAGTTACAGGTTTTACTGTACCTGAACCCATGGAGAAATACTTCACAAATTTACGAATGCTGTGCCTTACTATTGCTGGCCGTTCAGCTCCAGTCTGGCATTCTGCTCCATCAGTACTTGAAGTTGCTCCATGTCACTTTCCTTTGCCTAAAGATTGGAAACAGGAAAGTGCAGTCACTGGTCAGGCTGAGCTGAGACATGATAATAGTAAGTAGAAACTGTCCACAAACAGAGGAACTTTTCACGGGCCAGTGGCCTACCATAATTATTAATTATAATCCACACTCGTCACCATGGTGGTCCATATTTCACACCCATCATCATAGTGATTGTAAGTGCACGGCATAAGACCATAGGCACACTCGCGGTCACCAAGCGAATATCAGCGAGGAAGAGAAATGGCGGAAAAAGCAGAAAGGGGTTGTGTGCAATTGGCATCCAACAATTCAACATACAAAACAACATAGTTCACGCACAGCATACTGCATGAAATGAACAGCAAGACACCGCAGAATGTATGTGATCTGCTAGAGTCACGGTTGCCGGGGTTCTACAACCTGACTCGATGTGCATAGGAGATAGAATCACCAACCTCAGTCAATGCCCGCACTTGCTGTTGAAGCTGAGCATTCTCCATCTCAACATCGTCTACAAGCACAGAGTGGATTGAAATGCAAAAGTTGGGATGAACCATTTGTTTACAGTGCAGTAACACTGTCTATGTGTGCACTGTTCATTTGGGTTTTTTCACTTGAGAATACAGGAGCATTGAAGAGACTTGATAGTGCATTACATACAGACTGATCGGTCAGAATGATTAGTATGGTCAGTGCATGGTCGAAGCATGGTAAGTTTATGGTCAGAGCATGGCCAGTGTATGGTCAATGCATAGTCAGGTGCATGCACATGCACGTCCACCCACCAAGAGCAGAGAACCGGCTGTTTAGACGCTCCACTTCGGCCTCCAATGACTTGTTCCCTTCGACGAGCAGCCGCTTTTCATTCTTCACTTCCTGTATTCCCATAGAGCACAAAACATGCATAGTAGTGGAAGAACCAAACACAGAACAAGATGACGTGATGTTCTTGAGGGCAAAGAATGAGCTCATTCATTTCGGCCGACTACAATGGACAGCAGCCACAGAACACTATGGGTAGGATCATGCGGACTATTGTTCTCAGGGAGTGGGCTGTGTACACAGTAGTGGGTACATCACCGGCACAAGAGTGACTGAGCGTGCAGCTGCATCCACACAGGCGCGTAGCCGGCAGTGTTTCCAGAATCAATCACTGCAATGAAGTACTAATCACTGCAATGAAGTACTAATCACTGCAATGAAGTACTAATCACTGCAATGAAGTACTAATCACTGCAATGAAGTACTAATCACTCACATGGAGTAATAAAGTAGTACGTCAAGTGGGCATCAGTCCGAAAAACCTTCATGCTGAGATGCCGTGGAGCAGAGCTACTCGTATGCCAATATGCCTGTGCCATAACCTGAGATTTTGCATCAGACCCTCAGCAGCAAAAAGGGTTTTCAGCCCAATGACAACATAATTATGCTGTGTCTGGTGCCGTAGACAAAAAGAAAGCTGAATAGCGTACCTTGATCAGCTTGGTGACATGCTCCATGTCTTCCTGCTTTCTCCGCAGCTTGCTGTTGTCAGTCTCCAACTGATCAATGCGCCTAGCTTTCAGACGCAGCGAGTCCAGTTCATCATGATGATCCCGGGACCACTGGACTTCTTCCATCATTCTTTGTTTCTGAGCATTGGCACAATCGCCAGTCAACATGTTCATTAGAATCATTGCAGTACACAATAGTACGGAACACGATAAACGAAAATATACCAGACGGTAATACGCGTATGTACTTCTAAACAAGATGGGTGATTTCAACTCATATTTTCCCCACAAATTAGGCTATCCAACATGAAGCAAAGAAGAAATCAATTTTTTTGCTGGCTCCTCGATCACCATAGCTAATGTCCTGGAGACCAGCAGTTACAAAGCGACAGACTCACCTCTTGTTGAACTTTGGTGATCTTCTCCTGTAGCATGATGATCTCTTTATGGGACTCCGTCAGTGATAAACTCTTCAGATCCCTGTGTTTGCATCGGAACAACCCAACAAAAACTGATGTGATCAACACAATGCTTGTATCACAGAGATTACTAACACTGTCTGCAATGTATGTGCGTTGCTGAATTCACTCCATGTATCAACTATCAAGGTGGTACTTGCACTGGCAAGTGCTTATTCTATAAGTTAGTGCCCTATTGCAGCAACATACCAACCTGTCCACCTTGCCATAACTTATTCCAGCAGACTTAACCAGGCATCACTATAACTAAGTATAAGACATCCGCAGCTTACGTCTGTTAATCCAGCAGACATTACCATGCGGCATTCCTATAAGACATCCGCAGCTTACATCTGTTAATCCAGCAGACATTACCATGCGGCATTCCTATAAGACATCCGCAGCTTACATCTGGTCCGTAACATCCCGGAGTTTTGTTCTGAGCTCCGCTACTTCGGTTTGACTAGCGATGAGGCCTACAGCGGTCGCATCGCTAATCAAGCTGGTGCGGGACACAGTTCCTCCAAGGGGACTGGACGGTGGACGGCCATTGGTCTCCTAAACACGCAAGGAAATGATGCAGACAAAGTGTAGAGGCCAATATGAGACCGGTTGTGATTAAAACGTACCGAAAGGAATTGTAACAGGTGTATTTATACTAGACATCCATACAGTATGATACACTCTACTCACTATTCGAAGTTCCCGCTGCTTCACCATAGTGATGAGAATCTCGTATAGAAGAGCGCATACTCCAGTTTTTCTTCTCTCTTGTCTACTCTTTGTCGTTCCCTTTCTCTAAGTTTAAGTCTTCTACTTCTTCCATATTCAATACTTCTGAAACTATGGAACCTGTGTTGTACAAGTGTGAGGGGACTGCGTATTTAGCCGGGAGCTAACACTGGACCTCTGAGACTGCATACAGTTGAACATCGATTATCCGCACATCGACTATCCGACCATTCGATTATCCGTAACAGTTTTTTTGGGCGCACGTGCCGTAGAGTACGCACTGTGCATGTAGTAAGCCATTCAAAAAATACGAAAATTTTGAAAAGAAAAAAGTAAAAAGGTCGTGCGGCTAGTAATAACCACTGAAAGTGTGTGAGTGACAGTTTTTTCTTATCCAGAACATTTGCCTTATCTGAACACCGCCTGACAGTTGTCTGCCCAGAGGTGGTCGGATAATCGATGTTCAACTGTACTAATATCCATGTGTTAATAATATAATATTCGCGGTGTAGTGTAGTGAAATGTAGAATTGGCGAGAGAGTGTGCATGAGCCTTCATCTCTAGCACTGTTGCGATAACGAACACAACAATTCCTTTCTGAACGTCCGATACGAGTCAACACAACCTCTGCTACTTAATTCCGAATTGACGATTTAGGAGAACTTCGTAAAACTACACTCCACATTTTCTAACAGAAACAAGATACAACTGGGTTGAAACAGATCCACTGATATTGACCTTCTCATCAGTGCAGGTTATTCATCATTCTGCATTGCTCCAATCCTACATGACAAGGGACATGCTTCATTGAAGGATGACAAACTCTGAGATAGCCCACGGTACATACCAACAGTTCACGGCGAAAGTGGTTCTTCTCTTGTGCAGCCTCGCTGAATGACTGTAGGAAGTGTTTAGGAGGACACAGGAGAGAACAAAGCATTCTTCAATATCCATAGCAACATAAGCGAGCAGGAATGTACAAGTCATCGACCACCTAGTACGAAAAAATTTGGCACAGATTGACTAGCCATGCCGCGGATGGTGGAAGTTCCCTGCATATCTCATACAATACAGGCATTGCATTATAGATAATTCATAGTTGGGTCAATGGCCGAGGTACTTACCGCGTAGTAGTTATCTCTTTCTCTGGTCACGCGTTTTAGTCGGATGTATGCATTCTGGCATTCCGCTTCCAGATCCCTGCACATCAGCAAGTAATACATGTACCACAGCAACATGGGATAGTGAAGAATTGTGCAGTGGTATCGAAACTATGGAGACACGTCGACATTGGAACTGAAGCGCTACAGGGTTATCTTGAAACGGTTGACACGCACAGCTCAAGACAAACTGCCTTAATTCAGCTAACCTTTGCAGCAAGACTTACTTCTTCTGTAACGTGGATAGACCTTCAAAGTCCATGGAGTACACGTTGTCTGCGTTGTGCGTGATCTGACACAACAGGGGACAAGACACAGTGCAAGAGAATGCTCAATATACTAACGTGGTGAGTACCAGCCTACAGACTTTGGCATGAGCGTATACAAGTACTTCCTTCTTTGGTCAGAATTTCAAACAGAAAACTGGGATGCACAAACCCCAGCGCAGCAACAAACTGACAATGGGATAGGACACAGTGGCATAGGGATATCCACCAATAGCACAAACTCCTGCACCAGTACCTGCAAACTCCTGCACCAGTACCTGCAAACTCCTGCACCAGTACCTGCGCAAGGGAGAGCTGCCGGCATTGTATCACTTCACACACACACACACACACCCTCATAGCATAGTCCAAGCACAAGCCGTACAACTACAAGCACCACTTACCTCTTGAATGAGGACCACAAGACTGCTTTGAAGATTGCTGTCCATCTTCTTGATATTTTCTATAAGTTTTTCTTTGGCCTCGCACTGGAGGAAACAACAGGATTTTTAGAACCACAAAGGAGACAATATGCACAACGTCTGGAGATACATAGTAAAAAAAAACCGTTTCAGTGCTGGATTACAGATCCAATCAGGCTGAGCAGCTTGAACAACTCACTGCACCTAAGTGCAAAGCTGTGTACACGTATACATACGCCCGTGCACGAACACACATAGGAGATGAGCAACAAACTTGAAGTTTCCTGCACAACGCCATCATCAGCCAGCTGCTGTTCTAAAGTGCGTAGAACTTCAAGTTCCAGTCAATCATTTACCCGTCTCCTGTGTTTATGTAGACTGTAACATGAAAATGGGGCGAGAATGCAGTAGAGATATCAAAGTTCCGTCTGGCTACCAAGACATTCCAGCATGTATCCAGTGATGCCAGACTCTCTCCAACGTACCTGCACGCCACAACCCAGCATGAGCAGGAGAATTTTCTCCAATTGATCCAAGCTGTAGTCTACAGTAGAGAAGACACAGAATAACAGTTCCAGCACCGCTGTCAAAGGCGTCCCGGACGCACAGCTGCCGGGGTCGTAACTATACCGACTAACTACAGTACCTCCAGTATACCTGAAACTCGCACTAAAATGTTCTTAGATGTACAAGTAGTGTCACCTGCAGCACTGCAGTTTGTATGATGCTTACCAGATTCTGGCTCATAGGCTATGGCCATGATGTCCGGAAGCTGCATAACTATGAGCTGTTGCAGATAATTCTATGCACATACCAGGAACACACACAGGAAACACACGGCGGTTAACATAGTCAGTCCTTTCGTCAGTCAGCTTAAGCTCTGTCTCTCTCTCTCTCTCTCTCTCTCTCTCTCTCTCTCTCTCTCTCTCTCTCTCTCTCTCTCTCTCTCTTTCTCTCCTTACCGGAAGTCATCACTGACAAATTTGGAGAAAAAAGTCTCTCTGATATCAAATCGCTGTTTGATGGCTGGTGTTGTGTCGTATTCCTGTCAATAGCTATACAATCAACCTCAGATATAATGACAACAGACCAATAACAACACTTTCTTCAGAGGGAGGAACCATTGGAATACATCTGCATACTTTCAACCTACTTCAACCCCACAACTTACGACACCTCTCAAAATAACAACAATTTCCTGGAGCCCGATTGAGGGTCGCTATTCGCAACATTGACTGTACATGGTGTTGCAATTCTTACCTCAAAAAAGTGCCGAATGGACTGCATCAAAATGGTGAGGTTTTGAGCACGAAGGTTCGCATCACCATTAATCTCCGTGTTGACCATGCTTGTAGAACTGTCCGGGTATCTATAGAAGAGAGCATCGGAATGTATAATCATAGCACCATATTCAGCTAGGAAAACAGACATTATAGTTTAGGTACCTGCGCACCTAATAATCAGGGTTCTAGCAAAAGGTGGGTAGGGGGCGCAGCCGCCCCCTCCCCCCCCCCCCCCCCACACACTCATTTTCCGATTTTTGTGTTTTTTCATGCCATTCAACGAGAACGCAGTCAATAGTCAGTACTAGAGATAAAGGCACATTTGTCTGGGATGAAGTTAGGTGTTCAGCCCGTACGTTGCATTTCGCATTGCAAGACAGTTATTTAGAAAATGGAAAAATGAGTTACGGGATAACTGTTTTCCCTGCCCCCCCCCCCCCCCCCCCTACTATTTTGACCCGGCCAGACTGACCCTGTAATATTTATAATGTCACCCGCAATTCTAGAGATAATGTGAGTCTTTTCAGGATACCGAAAGTGATCCCACACATTGGTCAACAGGCCAAGGAGCTGAGCGAGACACAGCGGTATGCCTGCGGCTTTGTTTGACCAACTCAATGTGGACTGGGTGCCAACTTCGGATTTAGGGCGCAGTATTTCGAGTAGCACGTCTGCTATCAGTTCTGGGACTCACGCTCGCCGAGTTGCAGGGTCTGCCAGATTTGCTGCTGCAGCAAGCATTGTGACCTCCCCTACTGGGCAAGGAGTCATGTCCAGTAGCGGTACCGGCAGCAACGCGGTAGCGTCGTCAATCAGTGGGGTATTTCTGAGCTGCCATTCCCTGGAAATATGCAGCGGAGGAGTTTGAAGATGCACAGCGGCCATGTGACTGGTGGTGGTGAGGCTGCGCTTGAAGTTTGTGACATGGACATTGGGTCAGGCGCTGAAACGGTGGGCGTGGGAGGTGCGGAACCTGATCAAGCAAGTGATGTACTGCAGCAGGCAGCACGTGATGTTGCAACCCGAACTGGTGTTACCTACAGTGCAGAGGACAGTGGCAGCTTCCTGGTGACAAACCGGGTACACTCCACTCTGGTGAGTGCACAGCAATCTTTGTTGCAATGCCAATTTTAACACTGAAGAGTTCCTGAAGAATAGTGATGATGTACTTTTCTACACCGGCCTGCCATCTCCGAAAATCCTTCAGCATGCGTTTGATCACATCTCAAGAGGAGTTCCCGGCACATACCACGTGTGTCTCTCTATTTCAAGAGTTCATGACCGCTGTCATCAAGCTGCATTTTGACGTGCCGCTGCATAACCTGGCCTTCACACACTAGGAGTACAGGGCATCGGCAATCCGCTTGCAGCACCTTGTGTGCATCTCAGGGAACAGTATCATTTCTTCCTCATCCACGGGGTGGCAGGGCAAGCGACGGGCGCCTCACCGAACAGTCAGCGTTTTTAGACCATCCGTTACCAGGCGACGTTGTACTCGCCAAGAGAGGCTTTGATATTGACGAAGCCATTGCCAGCACAGGTGCCCAGCTTCGTATACCAGCATTCACGAGGAATAAATCTCAACTTTCAGCAGCTGCTGTTCATGACACTCGCACCATTGAAAATGTCCATACCCACGTGGAGCGCGTCATTGGGTAGCTCGACAGAAATATAAGATTCTGGGCGGCACACTTCCGAGAAAACTGGTGCAGCCGAGAAGCCTTTGATCTATGACATTCTCCCAGTCTGCGGAGCTCTAACCGAGGGCCGGATTCTCAATCAAACAAGAGCAAGAAATAGTGCCAAAAAGCCACCCGCTTCACTCTTCTTTGATGTTCTTGCTGTGCTGCCTGTGCAGCAACATGGCCGCCCACCTTGGATTACGTCATGGTACTCAGGTCTGCGGCCGCTTTGGCGAGACGTGCAACCACTCTATACATAATGTGTGAGGTGAAAATGGGTTTCCCTTTTCTTTGCCACACGCTTACCGCTAGACACTGCATCTGCCACCCTGGCACACTTAGGCATGGTAGTGGCCTGGTACAAGCAAAACTACCTAAGCTGGTTGTGTTTCGCAACACATTTATATAGCCAATTGGTAACACGGGTGTACGAACTTTAATTTACTACTTACTTTGTCACCATGTAAACATTAACACAATCTTCTAGAACACCCAACCAAACACATGTTGCGATCGTGTTCACTGCATAGCACAGTGGTTGGGAGTCGCAGCACTCGGGCCGCTCAGCCACGGGGCTGTCATATTACCGAGGTCAGATTGCCAACGCAGCCCCGCTGCAACTGTACCTTAACAATGTAGGAATTGCTATGTTTGTATGGTTTAAAGCTGTTTAACCCGCCCTATTCTCACAGCTTGGTAAGCTATTTACACCACATCCATGCATGTAGAAACTTAGTGTGCATCATGCCACCGACGAGTATCCTTGATACTCCATTACTGGTCGAAAAACTGGTAATGGACGTTCCAAATGTATCCTGAGGACTGCAAAAAAAAACAATATCTTGAAAATCTCTTGACGGAAAGTGCAACCCTACCAGGTCATTGTACTCTGTGTACAATGCCAAGGGCGCCAAATCATACTCATAGAGTCGTAGCCTTACTCAGACACTGAACACTTCAGACTATGGTCCTATGGACTAGGCAGAGAGATGACCCTGACAGCTTTGTATTCACCACATTCATTGATGGCAGTAAACTGAGTCCATCACACAACTAACTTTAAGTGGCCACTTTCAGGACATTGCTGCAATGGCAGCCCAGCACCTCTTCTTCTGAATACACACTGCAGTGATCAGTGGCCATGGAGATGCACATGTGCCACACAGAGTTATTGTTGTGTTAGTAGCAGTAGTGGCATCCATGAATGAGTGTATTTTGCAGGCACTTAGAAAATGATATTATTATCCTGCATTTGCCAGAGGTACCTCTAAGTTTCTAACCATCAGTTGAATGACAGAAAGAAAATATTCTGTTCTGCACGCAATGTCTACCATGAGTGAGTCACACTTACATTTGCTGCATAATGTGATTCAACAGAATGCCGTCCGCCAGCAATACAACGGTGTTACACCTATATCGATCTTCGTATGTCCTGACCTGCAGAGTCCAGGAACATGAATGGTGACAAAACATCACGCACCATGCGTATACACACCATAGAAAATGTCTGTGAAGAACATGTCATACAAAGTCGCGAACAAACAACGCCAACACGGTCATGTCAGAGAAGGAAGCAGTATGTATGATTGTCACAATAAGATATTGTAGCATTCGATCCCGGTGGACTGAGTCAAAAGTGCCGGTCTTTCATCCCATGGTCTATCATTTCCTCGTGTTGGAAAGATCTTCGCTCGCCCAGAGCACAATACCCAGGCAAGCACACGAACTGACACGAGCACAATTTCGTACTGGTTCGTGTGTCCCACACCGTCCCTCCTCCACAACACCAGCACACGCATAAAAAACAGAACACGGAAGTACCCGTACTCGCACTAATAGAATCTTGTGCTCGGCCTCATGTCCTCCTCGGTGGGAGTTTAGTCACGATATCTCACTTTAGGCATGACAATATCTGACACAAACATGCTCGCAACGGTTTTCACATGTGCGACATCTGTGCATACGGCCCAGATTTGTAACGGTGTTACTAGCGTCAAGGCAAAAGAACAACAGTACTGCACCAATCAACCTACCCATGCCATCAATGGCGAACTGAGGAAATTTGCCAATTTAGTCTCCGCCATAGCTGCTGCTCGCTTCCAAACGTCGCAGAGAAGTCCTAAGCGACAAGGCGAACGGGTTGGCAATAGCGTAGATCCCCGTCCAGCTACAACGCCTCAACTGCAGAAAACCGAGCCCTCCGGCCTCGTTCACAGCTGACAGTTCAGTCTCTTCCAACACATTTTCAAAAATGAGTCAAGGCCTCTCCAGGTTCGGCTCCAACGCCATTGCTTTAGCGCAAATAATAAGTAAAGATGAGGCAAGCCTACACAGATACCCGAGATGGAGACTGAAAATGCACACGACTGCGGGCTATGTAAAATTGGTTGATCCTGTGCAGCATCGATATATCTCACTACTCGCAGTTAGTAGTTTTGCAGCGCGAAAGAAATGTCCAGCGAACGTTGATCAGCCCCACTTCACAAACGACAAACCTATTTTCCGCTGAGTCGTTGCAGCTCTATCGTCGAGTACGAGTCCGCCACCGCACTGGCACTTCACAGCCTGAGTATGTGGGCAGTATGGCCCATGCCCAAGATCGAGTAAGGCAAGACTACTCTTGCCCATGCCATGGCCCACAACATGCATGATCTCCACAGGCACAGACTCAGGTCAGTCCACAGACATGCACATGCACAGAGTAAGTAGAGCTGGAGTACGAGTCAGTCAGTGTACAGTCTGTATCGGCTATAGCGTACCCTTTTGATTTCCGTGATTTTATCACTATAACCGATGCATCACTATAATAATTATGCGATACGATCGATTTTTTTTCTTTTTTCAATCTACACATGAAAGGCAAGGAAATACAAGGTACAATCATCATGACATGTACTTCCAGCATGGCGTTTTGACAAATGAGCATATGCTGCATAGTTGACAGTGCCCGCATTTCCATAAAAAATTCTGTTATGTGCATGTACATGTACATCATGTATCACTATAAAAAAAAGCAACGTGAAGAAAGTAAAAAAATTGGGCCTTTGATATTATTGCTACATGTATTTTTAAGTTATCACAATAGCCGATAATATTATAGTGTGTTATGCATGTTTTGATTCTTTGTTGCCATCATAATATTAATATCCGATATATCATTACATCCGATAATATTGGTTATAGTGATATTTGTACTGGATAAAATACGTTTCGCTTTTGATATTTCGTACCAATATCACTGTAGCCGATATACCGGATATAAGAATATTATTCTTATATCCGGTCACTATAGCTATAGCCGATACAGACTGTACAAGACTACATGACTTTTTTAAAGTTTTTTTTTACGGTAGACGCCTACGGTAACGGTCCGGACCGATAGATCTGCTATGCACGAGTATGCTATGGCATGGCATGGACCTATCTAGCTATACACAGTCATAATGACTATTGTACGTATCAAGAGTGCATAAACACGTGTTTTAAATTATTTATGGACTTTTGTCTTGCACATAATACAGTCATGATTATTGTGATTATTGTATACCGGTATACATGTATCTACAGACAGACTCAGTAGATCTACCACTCCCCGGTCCGGCCCTGCACATGGAGACTCTACTCTCTAGTCTAGTACTGTCTCTACCATGCATGCATGGCAAACAGACCGAGACAATGCACAGACTCAGTCAGACCCGAACAAATGCAACCAGTTACCTGAGTCAGTGCAGTGATATTCATGGTGATCATGGTGATGGAGCTGATCGCACTTTTTTTATACCGGTAATAATGTGCACATCCCTACAAAGACTATAGCCTAGTATAGGCCATAAGGTAATGAAACGGACAAAGACAAAAATGGGAGTAGTACTAGTCTTGTAGCACCTACTAGTACTACTAGTAGGTGCTACAAGACTCAAGACTTGAGCTGTTCTGGTCAGGCGCAGGGCACTCCTCCGACCATCCCGGGGTCGGAATCAACATGGACTGTGCAGGCCAAGCAAGGGGGTATACCATGGTATACTACCAAGAGTACATAACCCCTGGGGGGTTATGTACTCTTGTCTTGATACTACTAATAAGTATGAATGATAGACTTAAATACAAGAGCATCTGAAAATGCAACAGAACATGCAGCAAGATGCAGCAAGAGATCATAATGATGCCCTGTAGGCTGTACTCGGCTAGGCTGTAGATCTCGTTGTAGTACACTAGCACTGAATCTGACAGATCTACTACTACCAGTACGAGTAGTACTAGTAGTAATCAGTGGTAATACAACCTGCTAAATCCGATCGCGTGAGTTTGCGCCCTACCATGTACCAGATCACATCCCAGTTTTATCGTAGGTCCGATCCGGTCGATATCGGCCATGTATGAAGAATTGAAGATTCTACAAAATGACATAATATTATGTAGTACATGTACAGTCAGACCTCGCATATACCGGTAACCGCACACGTCCGTTTTCCACAAAAATATCCGGATTGGCAAGGGAGCCGGATAATCGAATACACGTACTGTATGTATGCATGGCATATGCTGTAAATCGGTAACCAACGATTTTCTTCCGGATGGTGAGGGATCCGGATAAAAGAGGACCGGATAAGCGAGGTCTGACTGTATAGTACATGATTGATCGATTGTGGGGTAGGTCATGTTTTTGGAACGGCCGGGTTCAGATGGTCATGAAGACCGCGGCTCTACCAACCACGGAGGTTGTAGTAAGATCGCTTTCCCGAACACGGTGGTCTCCGCCTTGACATGCTGTCAACCAACAACATGACCACTGATCATGATGACTGTTTCAACAAAACAAGGTTTAGTTAGTAGAATGTACATGCACTACAGCTAAAATACTTCTAAAGTACAATAATAGTATGGGGTGATCACAGTGTACTGACTGTAGACCATGGTAGACTGTAGTGTAGTACAAGTCAATAGCCCGGCTAGCGACTTGTCCTACTAGTACTACTACTAGTACTACACTGTAGAGTGTAGTAGTGGTAGATCTACCGGCGGTAGACCTCCGCTGAGAACTAGACTGCGGTGGCAAGTGTCAGCTCGGTTCAGCTCAGCTCAGACTCGGGGGAAAAAAGCAGTCACCTCAACAAGTCCCCTACCCGGTGTGCAAGTAGTTAGATACGGCATCACCATGGTCCAGACAGCCAAGCGGCTCCAGTTTTCTGGCTTCAATCCGCAACTCACAACCGGTATTGCCTATTACAGTAATACAGACAGTATGTAGATCTACATGTCATGGACATGACTTGTAATGGCAGACCCTGCGTGTAGTTATCGCATTCCACAGTTGTCCACAGTTTGCAAAGTCACAAAGACGCTTGATGCAACAGATATACATGTAATCATCGCAGTCATCAGTGATTATGTGTCACGCTAGCTGAATCCCTACCGATCGTTTGAAATTGGTATTCGGAGAAATAATGTACAGAGGAAGACTTAGTGTAACTTTGAACAGATATGCAGAGCCTACTTCAGTATACAGGTGGAATCCTGATAATTCAAACCTCAAAATGCCAGGAAAAAACTTCTAATTATCCGGACATTCTAATTATCCAAACATGAACCCACAACACAATATGTATGTCAAAATGCTCTCATGGTCACGCAGAGTTGCGCTGTGGACCTCAGGCTGCGTTTACACGACAACGCTGGGGGCGAAAACGCAACGAAATCCTTTCGGATCCATGGTTTACACGGTACGCCGAGCAAAACGTGAAAGTTGTACACCAAAACGGAAGAAAACCAAAACGCTGGCAAAGGTGGAAGAATTTGAAAACGGAAATGTTGTGCTGGATAAATTCGGGTGTGTAAACCAGGGAGTAGTAAAATACAGTATTTTACTACTCCCTGGTGTAAACAGTCGAAACGGTGTGCTAGCCTAGTTTTCCGTCACGTTTGTTTCGTTTTCGGCCGTTTACACGGATCCGACAATCCAAAAAAATGTTTTTACAATTTTCGTCATGTGACGTGTGCTGTCGTGTGCCTGTTTTCAAACATTACTTGAGTATGATTGGTGCTTCCACGGCAACACTTGGCACATGACAAACTTTGGCGGATTCTTTGCTCTCGTGTAGACGCTTGAAAACGATACAAACGGAGACCACCTCGATCGGATCGGCTTTGATCGTGTAAGGCCACACTTTGTTTTTTCTATGTTTCTCGTCGGCAAATTTTAACAAAAGGTACGCGGGCGGGCGGAAAAAAAACAAAGGCCAAGGAAAAAACAAGAACAATTTCTACTGAAAACTGTATACATTTTACAATGTTCATGTATACATTGTACAATCATGTACATGTAGTCTCATACATGATTGCACTACATTATCACATCAGCCCACGAATATCAGGCAAACTGCAACAATGTCAATGAGAGCATAAAGTTTGATTACGAGATGGCGAAGAGAACATACATTTATCTGCTATCGCATCAACAAACGTTTCCCACTCGTCATTAGGTTAATTTTTGGTTTTGTTACTTAAACGTTCTTGTGTCCGCTTATCAAACTCTTGTCTCCATGCTGCTCATCTTTTCCTTGCCATGCGTCTATTGCTTGGATTTTCTGCCTACGACATCGTTCCACAGACGCCAGTTGCCGCGGAACTCGTCCGAGTTACTGTTCCTGGGACCCACGAGGCTCAGCTCAGCCAGTGAACGACTGAAAGCTTCGTCATGACAGCCTTCATCGCAGCAAACAGACGAGGAGCGCTCCTTTGCTGCATGCTGTGGTGCAAACGTTTACGATTATTGATTGACGCATCTAGCTGCTGCAGCATGTGCAGCGTACAATACATACATGTACACATGTACGTAGTATGAACTTGTTTTTTCTTCCGAAATTTCTGAAAACCTACGCGGGCGATGACGAGAAACATAGAAAAAACAAAGTGTGGCCTAAACGTACGAAAACGAAAAAAGAAATGTGGGACTGAAAACGGAAAACTGACCGTGCGTTGTCGTGTAAACGCAGCCTACACACAGATTTCACGGATACTGAGCTGACCGGCACAGCCTGCTCATGCAAACTGAACAGTGAACTGACCAGTACAATGTACAGTGAACTTCGAATTACACTTTGCTAACTTCGAATTATCAGCAATTATCAAAGAGTTGAAAAATATCAATGAACTCCGTACAGAATCCTGCGGCTGAAAACAAGAAATTCTGCAGCAATTCTGCAAGTAGCCTACTGGAAGATTAGCCCCCCCCCCCCACGCACACACACACAATGAGGAGACACTCGGATCTTTTCAAACGCTAGTATAATACATGGCATATGAGCCACAACTGAATGCTTGTGGTGCGGAGAAAAAAAAAGTTCGATCCTGACACTCATAAAAGCAAAAAATTGCAAAAACGTGGCTAGAACTAGCAGGCATGGGATTAAGAGTAACAGCGGGAAGCACAACAATGAGAAGAACAAGATACAGAACAACAAGGCCAGAAAGGCCACAAGGCCAGGAAGGCCACAACAAACAGGATGCACTACACAATACTACTTAGGCAGCACATCCCTCACTCACCCTCACTCACCCTCGTCAGATCGACATTGACAGCAGCAGCAGCACTACCTATATACGCGATACAGACAAGTATAACACCCAAAATGAGTTATCAACGTCAAGATTCAAAATATTGCACGCTAGTAGCGTGGGTGTCCAGAAGAGGGGACAGGACTGCACCTCACATTCAAACAAGAATGTGCGGCAAAGATCAAATCAGCAGAGGCTGGATACGAGAGAAAATAAAGAGAGACACGTCTTGCTATGAGGTGTCTCGACCCAATGATAGGCAGAAGGAGACACCGGCCAATCTGCCCTCCCGCAACCAACGCTTCAGTGCTTCATTGCTTCGTTGCAAAGTCTAAATAGTGATGGCAGCAGTTCAAGAGCTGTATTTTTTCCATGCGAAGTATGCTCCCACGCCGACAAGACCGAAGACAACAATGTAGGGAAGGTAAGAGCCACCCTGCACACACGAGAGCAGTGGAGACAGAAACACATTTGGAAAACGTTGCTCAGAATAGACGAGGCAAGCTAGGAATTGTACAATGGCAGGACTGCAGGTATCTTCCTGAAGTGGCGAGCTGTCCACGCTCATCCCGAAAACATCACCCCGGCAATCAAAAGTTCAATGTGAAACAAGAATACTGTACTGATAGGGCACAGTTACGTCTTACCTCACTATGAAATACATATGAGCCAGCGTATATACATATTATATTAGTACTGTTAACGATCTGGCCATCTTCAGTGGCCGCAAGGCAACGAGAGTCAACAATGCAGCCATGCAGTTCAGATTTGAACTCAAAGAACAGATGTGAAGCACTGAGTAGTACTGTAGAAGAAGAAACTTTTGCTCAAAGCCCGAAGTCGGCCTTTCGCCTTTTGTTCGGGTACAATCGTGAACCCTTATTCCCTGCACGACATGTGGTATGCACGGCCATATTCATTCAGAGGTACTTTTTGCTTGACAATAGGGATGCAAAAAAAAAGAAAGCTACTTCCACTGGATGGCAAGTCAGGTAAGTACAGAATTTCACTATCATCATGTAGTTCAGAGGTGCACAATATGATGCAGTGCATCAATTTCTTTCTGTGAAAGCCCGTACATAAGCACCCGCCCAAATAATTAATTTAAAAAAACCTTCATCCTTTTGACACTTTCTCCTGAAGTCGAGACAGCCGGGGTAAGCATAATGCCGGAAATGAGTATCGGCACGGTTCGCACATGCAGCGCATAGCATGCCCATGTATATGCTACGGCATGTGCTGGAGAAAAAGGACTTCTCCATTATGCACAAGTCAGGTCCGAAAGTTAGTTCGTGCCCGAAAGCTAGTACTGGTGTGACCACTAAGTTGGAAAGGAAGCACATACTTCTTTACGGACTTGACGATACCAGCTTGCGGGATGCGGAACATTTCCAATAGTCTGGCTTATTCGCTTTGGTCATGGATAGCATCATTAGTACAGAGCCAAGAGTGTGCAACTCGACGATCTCTCAGCCCACAGCGGAGTTCTTTTGGTGGTCATCTGGCTCAATGTAGCCACCGCGCGCAGCCAGAGATTAAAAGGAAATGGAAAAATGTAGAGATCTTCCTCTTAAAGCAGCTACGCTCGTCAAAGCTAAAGAACCATGCGCCCTGAACCTGACACCTTTTCTTAGGGGTGAAATGAATTTTAGAACGTTCGACTAGGTTCGCTCCAAATGGGACTTCAAGGCGTCGAACGTTCGTCGATGCATGCGTAGGTACATGCAGTCTCCTGCTTGTACTGAAAATAATAATGTACATGCATATCGTGCAGAGCTCAGCCAGCCACCCGTGGCCTCAGGTCCCCATTACAGGTAACCGCAGCCATTCAAAAAAGAAAGTGATTGCAGAGCGTCCAATTCTTGGTTGTTTTACGCATGTGACGGAGTGCTTGGGTGGACATTTGTGGCGGCTTTCTTCGTTTAAAAGAACAGTTCGTGAGTTCGTCAAACGACGCGTACAGTTCGTCAGAATGTTTCGTTCGCCTCTATTGGGGTTCGTTTCAGCCCTACCTTTTCTACATAACAATCGTGGAAAGGCTTACGGATACGCACTTTATCAAACTTCTGCCAAAAAGTGCAGCAATGAAATTTTCCACCATGGGTAAGTCCATCATGGCCCAAGATAGGAGTTGCACATTCTTGGCAATGTACTAGTACTCTTGATAGCAATCCTAGCTCAGATTCACTACAGCCCTCAGTTAATACAGGCGTGTCTGTTCTTGTGATGTTCAATTATTTATCGGGGGACACAGCCAGAGAGGCATTGATAACAGTTCAATTATTAGCACATGCCCACGACATCTTGCAAACGCACCTCGGCTGGCGGATTTTCTGACTCAGATGTTTCCTCTGGATGGGGGTTGCGGATAACCTTGAGCTTGACGGTATCCTTAGCTTGATGGAAGGCCTGGACTGCTTCGTAGTGCTTTACGCCTGACACATCAATATCATTCACCTGTGACATGACAGGATGAGAAGTGGACCACAACAGAAAGAAACAGCAATGACTTCCTGGCATGAGCTGATGCAAGAAAACAAAGAGCAAGAACCAAGACACATTCACCTGGGGAGGGGGAGGCAATCTGCGTGGTATAATTATACAAAACGAGATCAAGCACATACGAAATGGAATGCAACAGAATCCGCTTTTTTCACAGGTGCAGCCAAACACCGGATTAGAATATTAACCCTGTAACCGGCAGCCCCATACTTGAACGCACCGCATCGTAAACGACGCATTCGACATGCATACAAAACAATGCCTGGCATGACAGGAAGCATCAGCCCATAGGGATTTCCCGTGGCCCTCACACAGCCTAGGTATGATCCTATCGGTAGCTGAAGAGATCTACGCGTGTCCCATTTCATTTCATTGAGAACTGCGCGATCGAAAACTTATGGAAATACACGCGCGCCGACAATGCCGTCTGCATCTGTCAAAACTTCGTCAGGTGCATTTCTTCTTGCGCAGTGAGTTCCATTCGTCCTCAGATGACTTCTCCAACGAGGACCTAGCAGTCCTTGGCTTTGGGACCAACGACATATACCGGTAGATAACTTCTTCGTTCCAGCCGCCGATGCAAGCGAATTTCGAATTGTGGAGCGGAGCGCACGCCAAGTAAATTCTCACGCAAATATCGAGAGCTCCAGCCGCTGCAGACGATGCAGTCGTGATGTACCTGGAAGAATCTGATGGTGCTTATGGTGGGGAAGCCATGGAGAGCGATCTCCGTGTCGACAGTCTCCCAGGGACGGAAATTTAGGCCATCGATTTTCTACGTACCTGAGTGACGGCAGCACAGCGTGACGTGCACACGACCTTACGGAACCATCGGACAGCGATTCTGGGGCGATGCTGCTCTCAATTGCGAGCGAGGCACGGCCACTGAAGTTTGTGGTGGCCATGGCGTTTGTTTCCGCTCCGAAGTCGACTTGCTTTGGCAGTATCATGTCAATGTCGGAACTCTGACAATTTGCATATGTACAATTTCCGTGTTAAGACGTATAGGTGCCAATTTAGCAGCATATGTGTGTGGTATGTGAAAATAATTGGAAGTAGTACCAGACTTCCAAGAAAACATAACTTGCACATAAAAAATACGGCCTCGTTGTGAGTTATTGGCATCCTTCTCAACGTTAAGAATTTCATATACAAAATGAACACAATACGAACTTAGAATTGAGCAGGGAGTCGTGCTTTCTTTCAGGTTTGCCGAGCGGAAGGTGCGGCGTGCTCCTGGTGTGCTCCGGATGGCAGTCGTGAGTCAGTCAAGTGTCAAGTTCGGCAAGAAGCGTGTGCTCCTCGTTGGAGCAACCAACTTCATGACATTACCGCCGAAGTCGCAACTTCTAAGTTCGTATTGTTGTCCCTCACGCGGACGTGCGACTAGTTGTTGGAGGTGACAGCGTTGTGAATAGCTATACTGGCTCTCAACGTCTGTTTAGCACAACTCCATGAGCGACTCTGACTCACGCTGCTACCTGGGGCTTCACGGGGTGTTTGTCGCGCTGGAAACAAAGCGTCTCTGTAAGTTTGTATCCCTGGTGATGGTTTGGCATGGAGAGCAGTATATAAGTGGTGCTTTTCAGGCACAATCTTCCTCAGCCTACTCAAGCTCAACTGATGAGGGGTGAATTCCCCGAAACACTGTGTATTGAGCAGGGAGTGGTGCTTTCTTTCAGGTTTGCCGAGCGGAAGGTGCGGCGTGCTCCTGGTGTGCTCCGGATGGCAGTCGTGAGTCAGTCAAGTGTCAAGTTCGGCAAGAAGCGTGTGCTCCTCGTTGGAGCAACCAACTTCAAAATGAACACAGGGCACAAAATACAAATGTTGCCATATCTCCGCTTTCCTTTCGCCCTTTCTCACAAACAACTACTCTCTGGAAAGCTATTGATGGCAGCTATCCTGTCGTAGAGACTAGAACGCCAAGCGCCATTCTTGTGTGCCGCGACGTGGCAAAGAAGACATCTTCAAACTCAATCAAATATGCAGAGCGCGATCTGTCACGAATAGCTTGCCGGTTTGTAAAATCACAGCACATAGAAACCAGTCGAAATTCCCATGAAATTATTTACGGTCACTGGGAGCGCACTTGCTCGGGATTCGCCAAATCGATTGTGCAGCTGATCACCTCCCTCTTATCCCCTCATCCAGCTTATTAACTGGAAATCACAATACAAACATTGGTCTTACTTCTAGTAGTCTCTTTGCACAGGTGGCTGCCTTAATAGAGTGATCCCCTGCATGGATTCTCTGCACGCTTGCACATTGGAATGGCACGATCTTGCATTCAGAGCAACATGTCAACTCACCTCTACTATTTTGTCACCGGGGCGAAGTCTGCCATCCTCAGCAGCAGCACCCTTTTCTCTCACAGTCGTGACAAAAATGCCAGGATCGTCTGTGCGGTGCTCGTTGTCAGTGCCTCCCCTAATATTGAAACCAAGGCCTACATGCAAACGATACATAGAATTATACGCACATCAAAACATCGTAAAAAGGAAATAATTACAAAATCGAAATGGCCATTGCGCAAGTCGATAAACTCGAACAGCAGGGTTCCCGGAGGAAGATTAATTACCATTTGGGCCTTTGTTCAATTTGATCTCCATAATTTCAGGTTGGATTTCCATACTTTTCTAGGGATGGCTGCTCGAGGTATCTGAGACTTTTACAAATCCTTTGCTGAGAAAGAACCAACTCTTCCGGAGATCGATATCGCTCAACGGTCACGATTCTGTATTGAAAAAAAGTATGACCTCCAATCTCCGTGCATACAAAAAAAATAATTATAAATCATGAAAATCGAACATTTCGCGGCCGTCGCGTCACACGGTATTTAAGCGGTCGACCCGTCGCAGTCACCCCGCGGTACGAGGACTCGTAGATCTACTTCGTAGTGCGGCTAGTACCGGCTACTTACACACACAGTCATAAGACAAGTCATAGTCATAGACATAGTTCTAGGTTTAATCGTTTTCTTCCGTAAACCCTATCGTTTTCCATCACTTTATCTACTTGCACGTACGTATTCATGATATTCCCACCTCTACTTCTTTGCTTTGCATTATTTGTCTACATGGGTTACATATTTGGCTCACGTATACGCATTATATGGCATTTTCCACGTACATGCGTACTGCTCATTATTTGATCTTTTGACCTTGCTAGTTATACACACTGTACGCATGCTCCGTTTTTAGCTGCCCACTCTCTCCTTCGGGAGGCTTTTTTATTGAGGCCTCGCTCTTCACCCCATGGCAGAGAGTTTTACAGGTATGCAGTTGACTGGTTGTTTGGTTTCTTGGTCATGCACGATGTTTTTCTGTGGTTAACAGGCAGTTATTTTGGCATCATACTTACCAGTTGATTGTGTGGGATATGGAAGAATCCTACCATAAAAAATCGAGTGGTTTTCTGTAAATCTGTGTGAATTAGAGGCACACATTAAACTTGGTTTCCCCGACCTCTAAATTGGTGACCCCCGACAAGTCCACACCTACAGTACTGCTCCGTGCCCACGCACGCCCGCTAGCCATTATGTCTACGCCTACGGCCTCTGCACAGCAAGCTGTTGATGCAGCCACTGGCGACCAAGCTACAGCCGACACCAACGTACCCGTGAGCCGTGGCCGCAGTACCCTCTCGGATCAAGTGCGCCCCAGCCAGCCGGCTGACGTGCCACTGGACCAGCCTGTAGTGCAGCAGTCCAGTGTGACCATCAAACTCTCCCCTTTCTGGCCCAAAGACTCCCAGCTGTGGTTTGCTCAAGCTGAAGCAGTCTTCGCCACCCGCAAGATAACACGGCAGCTGACAAAATTTCAGTACGTGATTGGTGCCCTGGAACCGGAGTATGCTATTGAAATAAGGGACATGATTATATCTCCCCCTGACGATCGTCCCTACGAGCAGCTGCGCGATACGCTAGTCCGCCAAACTCAGCAGTCCCAGCAGCAACGACTTCGTCACCTCCTCACAGAAGAGGTCCTTGGTGACCGCAAACCCAGTCAGTTGCTTCGTCGCATGCAGCAGCTCTTGGGCAGTGCAGACATCGATACCAGTCTGCTCCGGGAACTGTTTATCCAGCGTTTGCCCGCCGGGGTGCAGATGGTATTGGCTTCCTCTGGCGATTCCATGTCTTTGGACAAGATCGCCGACATGGCCGACCGCATCCTGGAGGTCTCCGCCCCACACGCCACTGCAACTGTTGCTGCTGCAACTGTGGCTGCTGCTCCGGTTGCCAGCGCACCCGCTGCCAACGTTCCGAGATCTGAGCTGGACGATCTGCGCTGCCAGATCGCCAATTTAACTGCAGCTGTACAACAGTTATCTCGCTCTCGTCTGAGCAGTCGCCATGGTAGCCGGACATCGTCACGGGACTCCAGCCCTAGTCGTGACGGTCTGTGTTTCTACCATCGCCGATTTGGAGACCGCGCCCTCCACTGCCGGCCCGGCTGCCAATACCAGTCGGGAAACGGGACTGCCAGGAACTAAATACGGCCTCGGTCCCTGGCTCCGCAGTGAAACCTGGCCGTCTCCTCTATGTTCGGGACCCCGCCACAGCACGGTCGTTCCTCATCGATACCGGTGCAGCCGTGAGTGTTCTCCCGCCTTCCAGAGCAGACCTGGCCCAGCCGCCATCCTCTGTCCAGCTCCAGGCAGCCAACGGCATGTCCATCTGGACATATGGCGAGCGTTCACTGTGTTTAACGCTTGGCCTCCGCCGTCAGTTTCACTAGATTTTCGTCATTGCAGACGTCAAGACGCCCATCTTGGGCTTCGACTTCTTGGCACACCATGGACTACAGGTCGATTTGTCCCAGCGCTGCTTACGCGACTCCTCAACGTCTCTGGCGTCCATAGGTCACATCAACACTGGCTTGTCTGTGCGACCGGTATTGCCAGTTTCTGACCCTGCACACCCGTGCTACCGTATTGTGGCGCAGTATCCTGAGCTCACGGATGTCAATCGCAGCCTGCACACACCAGTCAGGCATGCTGTCACACACAACATCGTGACACAGGCCCACCTGCCCACGCACGTGTGACTAGTTGTCCGACGTTTGGCCCCAGACAAACTCAAAGCCGCTCGACAGGAATTCGACCACATGTTGGCTCTCGGTATAGTACGTCCTTCGAGCAGCCCCTACTCGTCTCCGCTGCATATTTGCTTGAAGGCCGCCAGTTCTACATATTAACGGATCACAAGCCACTGACATTCGCCATGCAGTCCACCACCACAACACATCCACCTCGTGTCCTCCGTCAGCTGGCCTACATCAGCGAATTCACCACGGATCTTCGCCACATCAAGGGCACAGATAACTCGGTTGCTGATGCACTGTCCCGTGCTACCGCTGTGTCTGCTGTTGCTGCTGCTGCTCCTCCTCTGGCTACTGCTCCTGTACTGCCTGCTGGTGCCGCTGCTGCGCCTGTCTTGCCTGCTGATGCCACTGCTGCGCATGACCTGTCTGCTGGTCCCGCTGCCATGCCCGTCTTGCCTGCGGGTGCCACGGCTGTGCCTGCCCTCGACTTTGCCGCTATGGCTGCAGCTCAGTCGACCGATGCTCAGTTTCGCCAGTTACGCGCAGCTTCGAGTACCTCACTCGCCTGGCAAGCAGTTCTGTTGCCCGGTACCCCTACTTCTCTCACCTGTGACACGTCTCCTGGTCAGCCTCGTCCGTATGTGCCCGTTTCATTCCGGCGCGCTGTGTTTGACTCCCTGCATCAGTTGTCACACCCAGGTGTTCGAGCTTCCCGCCGTCTCGTCGCAACTCGCTACATCTGGCCTCACATGCATACAGACATCAAGGAGTGAGTGCACACGTGTCCTGACTGCCAGCGCTGCAAAGTCCAGCGTCACACCAAGAGTCCTGTTGGTCGTTTCCTGCCACCTGGCCAGCGTTTCGAACATGTGCACATTGATCTCGTTGGTCCGCTCCCGTCATGCCAGGGTTACACATACATCCTGACGTGTGTTGACCGCTTCTCCCGATGGCCAGAGGCCATGCCCCTGCCCGACACTGCTGAATCGACAGCTGCTGCTTTGGTGTCGACCTGGATCTCTCGTTTCGGCGTGCCATCCGTCATCACCACGGACCGGGGTGCTAACTTCGAGTCTGCCCTGTTGTTGTGTTGTTGTGTTTATTTTAATTCGCAAACCAAACGGGCAGATCTGCCCAATGAAAAGGTGGCGAATCCAGATAGAAAGCAGTAATAAATGAAATTGGGGACTGATGTAATGAGGATAGAGGTGGAGAAAAACTAAGCCAGCTGATCATCAAACAGGACGTTTGGTACTCTAGGTACTAAGGGTGTACGGGATCATGCTGGCGCGGAACTGGCGGAGCGTGGAGATGGCACGTATATCGCTGGGTAAGGTGTTCCACAGCTGGGCGCCCCGGAACGCGAGGCAACCCTTGCCGAACCTTCGTGGAAACTGGCGGTTGGCGCAGACCCATGATGGAGTGCAACCTAGTTGGGCCAGCTGACAAAAGAGCTAGGAGGGCTTGCAGATCAGAACTTGCGTGCCCATTCCGAGACCTCCAGAGCAGAACGATGAACTTCTGCCTGAATATCTCGGATACTCTGTAGGTGTCCAATTGCAGCAGGAGGGTACGCGCGGAGGTGTGATGCGAGAGTCCGAAAACCGCCCGATTCGGCATGACTTGTAGCCGATCCAATTGGTTGGCAGTAAGAAGCGGGGACCCTCTTCCGGGAGCTGCTGAGTCTCCTTGGTTGTTGCCGTTCCCACACCACAGCTTATCATCCACAGGCCAACGGCGTGGTTGAGTGCTTCCATCGGCAGCTCAAGGCAGCTATCAAAGCCCACACTCGCCCTCATCAGTGGATAGCTCTACAGCCTATTGTGCTCCTTGGCATTCGCTCCGCTCTTCGGGAGGATCTGGGTTGCAGTTCCGCCGAACTCCTGTATGGCTGTCCTCTACGTCTACCGGGAGAGTTTCTCGCTCCAGCTGAGGCTTTGTCGCACACCCCAGCTCAGTTCGTCCAGAAACTTTAAAGGGGAAGTATACCCTAAAAGGATTTGTATGCAAAATGTCACTAAAAGCGCCATTTCGTTCTTTTAAAAGCACGGGTGACAGCGATTGGCCCATATGTTGTAGTCTTTTGGACGCTGAGTCGACTGGTTTTGGTCCGAAAAGGCTGCGATGCAGCGTTCCTCCTTTATTCCCAATCGAACATGGTTGAACAAGCGGTCACGTGCTCCTGGGTGCCCAAATCACCTGGTCACCGCGCCAGCAGGCGACAACTTTCACACCAAGGTTCAACTCGAGTTCAACTCGAGTGACAGGACTGCACCCAAAAAAGGTCAAACAGGCTAGTAAGTTGTACCCTGCAGGCACAGTGACCAGGTGACTGGTGTACGCAGGAGCACGTGACCGCTTGTTCAACCATGTTCGATTGGGAATAAAGAAGGAACGCTGCATCGCAGCCTTTTCGGACCAAAACCAGTCGACTCAGCGTCCAAAAGACTACAACATATGGGCCAATCGCGGTCATCCGTGCTTTTATAAGAACGAAATGGCGCTTTTAGTGACATTTTGCATACAAATCCCCATCTAGTAGGGCGCAGTTACCCAGTTTCGGTGGAAGTGCGCGAGTTCGATTGGGATTCAAGTAGGAAGGGAGCGTCGCAGCTTCCTCGGACCAAGACCATTCGACTCAGCACCCCGAAGACTACAACTGGTGAAATTTTGATTTTAGGGTATACAGTAGATATTGGTTATAACGTGCCCTTCTGATTTTTCACATTTTATCACTATAACCGGTATATCACTACAGGCGATTTTCAACTGCGCGCATCATACATACATATTATACACGTGTGGGTACTCGATCGCGCTAATGTAGCGTACTGATACATGATGCATGCTGCTGCACCTTCCCCAGTCTAGAGTGTAGAACTTCTTGGCCTAAAGGCATCATTCAGGAAGCATCAGACCAGAATACCCTATGACAACACACATGTGGCTCCAAGTCGAGACACAAATGCCTCACACTCGTGTGCTGCTATCATTATAGATGACATTTTTTCTGTACAAAGAGGTGTTTTGAATTGTGATTCTGTATCCTTATAGCCGATTTATCGCTATATCCGATATATTGGTTATAATGATAATTTGACTGGCTTTTTCTGGTTTTGCTTTTGATATTTTCATTTTGTATCAATATAGCCGGTTTATCACTATTACCGATGACTTTATAACCGATATCCACTGTACTTCCCCTTTAAAGATCTACTGACTCGTGATCGTAGTCTCGTACTCGGCGATCCGCTACGCTACCATGGCTACTGCACGTCATCACTGCTCCTATGCCTATGCCTATGTTGCCAACACTGCAACAGGGAGTCGTAAAAATACGTATTTTTACGGCTCCCTGGTTGCCAACAATCCTCACCCAGAGTTTCAACCTGGGAGACTCTTACTACTTAAGCAGTTTAGAGGCGCGTTCGAATTGTCACTCTTTGACTTTTCAAGGAGTTTCGTTTTTCTGGAGAGGTGGCCTTATTGGCCTCTTCAGTAAAACGAAGCTCCTCGAAACTCATCCGATGGGAAGGCGGATTACCGTATTTCCCCGTAAGTTAGTTCTCCCCAATGACTTAGTACCCCCTATAAAAAATACACTTTCCACTGCCGAGGTTATCACCCCGAAAGACAGTTCCCCCGAAAGATAGTAAGTTCGTACCCGTCCTACATGTACAGACACCGTACAGTACATACATCATATGCACGGACACTAGAGTTGCGCAGGCTTCCCACTGCGTGTCATTTACCCCCGATAAAAAAGTACTCCCCGAAAGATAGTACCACCCCCGAAAGTTAGTACTCATGTGGCTACACCGCCACAGGAGGAGGCGGACAACACCAGGGCAGCCAAAGCTAAAGCCAGGGCAGACGCCAGAAAGACGGAGCAGCGTCATGCCAAGGAGGTGTACGATGGCGTGGATGGAGACCTGCAGAGGTCCATGGATCTTGCGGCCGGAAAGGGTGCGTCGAACTGGCTCACCTGTCGACCACTCAAGCAGCATGGGTTCTCACAACACAAGGGCGCGTTTCGAGATGCTGTCTGCCACCGCTACGGGCGGACTCCGCCCCACCTCCCCCAGAGCTGTGCCTGTGGAGCTGCCTTCACTGTCCCGCACGCCTTGCCTTGCCCAGTAGGTGGCTATCCGTCTCTGCGGCACAACGAGCTGCGGGACTTGACCGCTACCATGCTCACATCAGCAGCTCATGATATCAGCATTGAGCCACGCCTTCAGCCGTTATCTGGTGAGAATTTTTATCACCGGACGGCTATCCGTGAGGATGGTGCCAGGCTGGATGTTGCTGCCAGCGGGGTATGGGGTGGCCGGTTTGAGCGAGCTTTCTTTGATATTCGGGTGTTCAACCCTCATGCTCGTTCGAACTCGGTCCACTCCATCCCCGCCGCATACGCAAAGCATGAGCGTGAGAAGCGTCGGCATTATGAGG